CAACCGAAGAAGTAGAAGAACGGGAGGAAGCGCAGGACTTGTTCCGAAAAAAGACTGGCTTTGGTCTCTTGTTGTTCAATAATGAGACCATTCTTTGCAACTCCACCACTGACTGGAACGGGACAGACTGGAACTCCACGGACCTTCTTTGTAACACGACAAGTATTTTGAATGAAACCGACCTCCTCTGGAATGAAACCGATTTCGTAGTAGAAGAGCAGAACAACGACTATATTTTCGGTGGCGACGAATCACTTGTGGATGAAACACTGGACTTGGAGGTGGAACTAGAGGTGGTCCGCGCGGTGACATTTCAAGCCACTTCCACCAATACCGCAGTGGAAACTCCCGGACCAACTCCAGCACCCACCAACACAGAGACGCCGACAACACTGGCACCCACAACAAAAGTGGGATCACCCACAGCTAGCCCAACCACCACTGCTCCAACGACGGCAATGCCTACAATCCCGGAAATCCCCGTCATGTTCCCGGCCATTGTGGAAGAGACTACTGTCGAGGAGGAAATCGTAGAAGCTACAGTGGAAGTGGAGGAAAGCAATGGGACTCTGGTGGCTGTGTTTGTGGCGGATGAGCTCGCCATTATCGAAGACTGTCTCGAAACTCCCATCAACAGCAATGCGGCGTCATCATCACGGTCCGACATGCTGTGTGAAGTGATCAAAAACACGACGAGTGCAGTTGGCGCTGCCGAGGCTGTTGTTGACTGTGTTGGTAACCTGTTGTCGGAGGAGTGTCAGGAGATCGTTCCAAAAGTGGTCGAGGCAACAAGCAAAGCTGTAGAAGAATCTGCGTTGATAGGAGGGCCCAGTGTCGCCCCAAGTACCAGTCCCACCTGGGTCCCTCCCCCCACTCGGCCGCTTGTCGCTGCGGGTTTGATGGACACTGGCAGCCCAAGTAAATCGCCTTCAAAAGCTCCATCGTCAAATCCATCAGCAAACCCGTCGACTACACCCAGCTCAAATCCATCTCCTGCGCCTAAAGACAACGACGCTGGTCCATCGCCCGCCAAGGCACCCCAAACCCAAACCAATCCTATTGGAGCAGAGCCCACGACTATTTCTCCTACAACTACTTCTCCTTCAAAGTCGCCAACCGCCGCACCAAGTGCGAATCCAACGAGTGAGACACGGTCCCAGACACTTACACCAACGTCAGTGCAAGCCTCAAAGAGCCCAACTAGAGTGCCTCTGTCTCCATCTCCAACTGCTTCTCCATCACAAAGTCCTTCTGGTACACCATCGAGTTCCCCCACTCGCGAGCCCACACCAGAGCCAACGTTGACACCTTCGGCTTTCCCATCAGATCTGCCAACAGAGAATCCAACAAGAAACCCTACAGTAACTCCGGGTAATCCAACACGTAGCCCCACGGAACAACCGTCTAGCGGGCCTTCTAAAACTTTTTCTCCCTCAACTTCACCGTCGGTTCTCACACCAAGCCCCAGTATTCAACCAACCACTGAAACCCCAACAATCACGCCAACGCAGCCCCCCACAGAATCGTCAGGGTCTCCTACTGGTTCTCCAACTCAAGGTCCAACTGAGGCACCCCAAGCATCTCCAACCAATGATCCGTCGGTGTCACCCACTGACACACCAACTGCTCCGCCAACTGAAACGCAAACAGATCCTCCAACTGAAACGCCAACAGATGCCCCAACAGTAACGCCTGGGTTTCCCACTGGTTCTCCAAGTCAAGGTCCAACTGCAACACCCCAGGCTTCTCCGTCCAGTGTTCCGTCAGCTTACCCTACTGATCCTCCCACACTTGATCCTACCTCCCAGCCAACTGCAGCACAAACGGATGCTCCAACCGCAGAACCAACGAATGCTCCCACCGTAACTCAAACGGGTGCGCCCACAGTGACTGTCACTCAAACGGGTGCCCCCACAGTAACTCAAACAGATGCCCCAACAGCAACTCAAACAGATGTTCCCACTGTAACTCAAACCGATGCCCCAACAGCAACTCAAACCGATGCTCCAACTGTAACGCCAGGATTTCCAACTCCATCCCCTACGCCGAGCCCAACAAGAACCCCTGATGCTTCTCCCTCCAGCATTCCATCCATTCTGCCCAGTCTTGATCCTAGCAGTCAAACAACTACAAGTCCAAGTGAAACTCCAACAGCAACCCCGCCAATTGATGCAAGTGCAGGGCCCTCAAGTTTCCCATCAGTGTCTGTGTTACCATCAAAGCAGCCGTCGCAGGGCCCTTCTGGTCTATCACCTGCAGCATTGCCTTCTGTTGCGCCCAGCGGCAGTCCATCTTTCTCAAGTCCTGATTTACCGTCAGGGCAGCCTTCTCAAGACCCTATCGGTTTTTCGCCTACAGAATCGCCCTCCGGTGCTCCGACGGTGACCCCCGCAGCCTCTGCTTTACCAACTTCTGTTTCAGCGCCAACAGCTGTTCTCTCTTCCAATCCTTCGTTTGTGCCAACAGGAGTCCCTTTGACCTCTGAGGCTCCCTCAGCAGCACCATCATCCGTTCCATCTCGTATTTCCACAATTTCAATGCCTCCATCTGACTCGCCAACTTCTACCACAGCAATGGTGCCCTCTGGAGCTCCATCAAGGTCTCCAAGCATGGTTCCATCCAATTCAATGGCTCCATCCAGTGTGCAAACAATTTTGCCCACGCCACAGCCAAGCCCAGAGCCTACTTTACCCCCTTCTGCAGTCCCATCAGGATCTCAGTCTCCATCTATGGTTCCGTCGATGGTCCCCTCAACCCGTCTCTCCAATCTACCTTCACTGTTTCCTTCTGTAGCCCCATCAGCATCACAAGTTCCATCTGTCAAACCATCAACTGTCCCCTCTACTACTCCCTCCATTGCGCCCTCAATTTATCCCTCTAACACTCCCAGTTCGTCTCCTGTGCTGTCACCATCAAAAATGCCCTCTTTGCATCCATCCAGTACACCATCAAGTGTTCCTTCTGGATCAAGCTATCCATCGGGCAGACCAACTAATGCTCCATCTGATGCCCCCTCCCTTGTTCCTACAAGTGTGCCCAGTAGACCTCCAACTGGAGTTCCATCGATTGCACCCTCAGTGTCTCCTTCAGTTGGCCCGTCCGGCTCACCATCAGCAATGGCTACCTCAGTTTCCCCTTCAGCAGGTCCCTCGGCTTTGCCTCCAAGCTCAAACTATCCCTCTTTGGTGCCATCAGGGGGTTCCTCGGGATCTCCATCATCGACGGTCAACTCAGTATCTCCTTCAGCTGGTCCCTCAGCTCTACCGCCGAGCTCTACCTATCCCTCTGCAGTGCCATCAACTTCCCCCACACCAAAGCCAAGCCCAGCTCCCACACGTGTCCCATCACACACGCCTTCAAGTGTACCCACATCAAGTCCATCACAAGCTCCCACGAAAGTGCCAACCAGGAAGCCCACACAAGCGCCCACAATGTCTCCATCTTTGTCAGTGTCTCCATCCCAAGAACCCTCGAGTCTCCCATCCAAAAGTCCTACTGTAAGCCCCACAAGTGGACCGACGGCACAACCTTCTGTCATCCCCACCAGAAGACCCAGTGGAAGTCCATCAGGCGTCCCCACCACGTCACCCTCGAAATCCCCTACTGGTGTCCCATCAGTTTCCCCATCCTTTGGTCCCACTTCAAGTCCTTCTGATGCGCCCACAAGAAAACCGTCCGAGATGCCTTCAAGCAGCCCGAGTATTTCTCCTTCGTTATCCGCTTTGCCTTCTCCCGCACCGTCACGTGCTCCGTCAGGGAACCCAACCACTTCCCCATCATCTGGCCCCACACTAAGGCCTTCAGCCCAGCCTTCTCTCAATCCAACGAAGTCTCCAAGCAAGAATCCAACATCTACCCCTTCAGCTTCACCATCGTCAGTGCCCACTAAACGGCCAACTGCCAATCCATCAACTGCTCCGTCCCTATCCACGTTTCCCTCTATTGGTCCCTCCAGTGCACCATCAACAGTGCCATCAACTGCTCCCTCCTTGAATCCCAGCCATGAACCCTCGGTGAGCCCAACGAATGCTCCAAGCCAGCAACCTTCAGGCAGCCCAACGAATTTGCCCAGCCGGCCGCCTACCAATGGCCCCACCAGCGCTCCAAGCCAACAACCGACAAACAATCCAACCACTTCCCCCACTCAACAGCCGACAATCAGTCCGACGACGCAACCGAGCCAACAGCCCACTGGCGAACCTAGCAATGTGCCGAGTCGACGTCCAACGGATAGCCCCACGAGGTCTCCCACCAAGCAACCAACAGATGATCCTACCAATTCCCCTAGTCGCCAGCCGACAGACACCCCAAGCAGCCTTCCCAGTCTACAGCCTACCACCAGTCCAAGCCATAATCCCACTCGACCACCCACCGACAGTCCAACCAATAGTCCCACTCGTGAGCCTTCAGGGAGCCCCACACTTTCTCCCAGCAAGCAACCCACATTCAATCCCACAGGAACCCCCACAACATCACCTTCACGGACTTCAACAGGTGCACCAACCAAAAGCCCCACACCAGCCCCATCAGGAACTCGACGGCGTGGATTACGAGCCGATCAGCCAAAGCAAGTGCCAGAGGCAACCAAAACTCTTCGACAATGGCTATCAGGATTATTGTTTTGGTTGAAAAGCTTGGTTTCCATGTACTAAGAAAGCAAACAGCAACTACTGGTAATACATCTTTCCTTGAAATAGACTTATTCATTTTTAATAGCACCAGCCACTTTTTAAAATACCAGCCACTGCCACGACATGAGATTGGTTCTCATGGCTGCCACTAGCCAGCTAGTAGTTGAGAGACGGTGCGAAATGGCAGGGTGCCTTCGAGGCGGAAACCGTACTAGTACCCTGTAACTGCTGGCTGGGAGCAATCGACGACTTGTGACGGATATGCCTAGAACTTGCTTGAGAGGCAACTTGCGTTTGCTCATCAGCTGCTCTGTGTCCAAATCACCCAACCCTCCTCAAGCATGCCGTCTCATCCGAGTGCTGCTTTGAGACGATTGCATGCCCAAGAGCTGGTGCATCATCTTGCGGATCCTGGTGGCTGCGCACATGCCCTGCTCTACGGGAGTACCAAAAGAGAGAGAATGACGAGAGCTATGCCGAGTGTGGCAAGTCCCATGAGCTGCGATGAGAAACTCCCCTGCAGGGGACTGGAGTTCTAAGGAGCCGTGATGACCCCAACTCACCAATAAACCGAGCACGGCCTTGAGCCATGTTGAAAACTGGATGCCACCGGCAGCTCCAAGCCTTGGTCGAGAGTGACTCTTGGCCAGTGTTGCCAGGATGTTTGGCCGGGTCTGAAAAGGACGCATCTCGGACCAAAAGAGTCCATAAAACGAATGTAGAATAGAATAGAACAAAGTTGCGAAGCAATCCCTTCTCCTGATATCTTAAAATTATATATGTAACATGCAATGGCGTGCAAAATGTGTCGAAACACAGAAGCGGAGCCGAGCTGGGCACAGCTTCGCGAATACACGTGTTCATTCTTGTCTAGGGGGTCCAATCAATATTCACATTGTCATCTAAAAGTCTCCATTCCCCTGTGTGTGCTTCGGAGCTAACCCTTGGAGCCTGAGCTTCCCCTCCTTCGAGTTCCTCCGCCAAGTGGAGCGGTTTCTTGTTCTTCCGCCTGTTCCTCCAACGATTCTTTCGTGGGCACTCTCTCCAACATTTGCTGCACAATTTCATTTCCCTTCACAATCCATTCCTCTCTATTCTTCATTGCGTAGTTCAGATACTCATCACTAGAAACTCCAAAGACACCACACTCCTTGAGTTTCTTTGCCAAGGGGATGATATAAAAGTCAAAGAATCCAATTTCACCCTTGTACCAGAATTCCGACGGGTCCTTCTCCGCCCGCCCTTCACGGTAGGCTTTGTGCATTTCCTGGAAGAGACGTTCGTTCCACTTGCGGAAAATGTGCCAATGTTGCATCTGAAAATATAGAGGACAAGGTAGAAAAATAGGTGAGCCAAAACATCACTACAGAAGCCTCTTTTCAACAAGAGAAATGAAGATTGTCGACTTACAGTATGCGCCACATCAGAAGCTTGAATTAAATGCTCAATCTGCATGGAAAAAGGAAAGAAGCTCGCGTGAGGAGGGGATCGCCCGCCGATGCACATGGTACATGCCGGTGAAGCGATGAACTTACCACAATTGTAGCCTTTCTGTTCACGTCCTTGTCTTCGTCTTCCTCCACATCCTTGAATGCTTTGTCCCAACGAGCATTGCGCAAGGCTTTCAGGTCTTTGTCAACAATGTCCGTAGCCATGACACTCTGCGAGTTGTCGAGAATGGGTGGGTCCAAAGAGGACACAAAACAATCTTAGTTAGCGCATCATGACTCAGCGGTGAATGATTCCAGCCAAGCACGCCACAATAGAACTTACATTCACCACCAACTGACGGAAACGATCCAATTCCGAAGTATTGGTGTACAACACGTTTTGCAAAGCAGCGTATTTGGTGTCCATGAGCATGTCCCAGGCGAGGTCGACGGAGTTCTGTTCGGCGACACTCTTTTGCTTGTAAAGTTCCGCAATTTTGGCATTCTCTTTCACAAGCGTCGCATTGGGAACTCCCGTGTGGTCAACGTCATGAATGAGAGCCGAGAAAACGACAGCGAATTGGGTGAGCGGATCACTTGTGATTCCGTAAGTGCTCTTGTGAACCTCCCAAGCGTAATCTTCAATCTTTTGCTCCGAATTTTCATTGTGGTTGCGGTTGATGTCCTGCGGACTGACGATACGCGAAAGCAGCTTACTGACGGACATGGTGACGTGACTGGCGTGCTCGAAATTATGAACTAAAGAAGGTTTTTTGCAAGAGAGTCACAAAGTGTCAGTGCTAAATTCAGATCAAAGCGCAACCGAAGCACCAAAGCTCGCCAACACTTACAGGGATTGTCGCGATATAGAGTTGCAATCGTCGAGACGTAATCATGCAGCTGCTGCAGCACATCTTCGTTGAGTTGCACAGAATCAGGGTCGTCGTGGTTGCGGTAGACCTTGGGATCGAATTTGGGCAACGTGATGATCTCGCGTACTTCTTCCAGGACCGTTCCCACCTTGCGCAAGTTGGCGTTGAGGAATTCCTCGTTCGTGCTGGCCTGGATTTGGCTGCTACGACGTGCTTGGGCATTGCGACGTGCCACAATCAACTTCAATAGACGAATCATCTGATCACAGTTCCAATCGACCAAACGCTTGGCCTTGGCGTCCAGAGGTCTCGCCGTGGGGCCAGAGTCCTTCATGGGCTTGGCGGCAGGCTGAGGCATCTTGAGCTCTTCGTCAATAAAGTCACTATTGCTGCTTCCGCTGGTCACGGATGCCGCTCCTTCATGGCGGACTTCCAGCCAATATGTTTGCAACTCCCCTTTACCTTTCGCGCGGACTTTTTCTTCTCGCTCGCGCATCCAGTTGGATTTTCCAGCGGCCAAGAGAAGATCGGCAGTTTCTTTCGACAGTTGGATCTTGGAGGGCTGGCCGGTACTCTCCATACGAGCTGCCGTGTTCACCGTATCTCCAAACAGCTGGAATCTCGATTTCTCGCCTCGCAAGACACCGGCCGTCACGGGGCCACTGTAGTAACAATTAAGTAGATGATTCAAGCAGTTGGTGAGAATGACAACGGACGAATATATTGCGAATTTCACGATGATCCACAACAGGCAGACAATAATTCTAAAAGCCTACCTGTGAAGCCCAATTCGGATCTGCAAATCTCCGGTATCAGGACCGAGCGTAACTTCCAGCTTCTTGGTGAGATCGCTGACGGTCTGCATACAGTCTCTCGCGAAACGGGCCATAATGACTGCGTGATCCTTTCTGGGATCGGGGAGACCTACAACCGCCACGTAACAATCCCCGACTATCGAACAAAAAAATTAATAAAACGGCGAGTGAGATCCAATTCATTGCGCTCGTCCAACCGCCACTCTTTCCCTCTGCGCACCTGTTTCGACCTTGAACACGCGTCTGCGACGAGCAATTTCATCAAAGCTGTGGTAGATCGTCTCGAGCAACTGGAACACTTGCGTGGGTTCACGAACAGAAGACCAGCTGGAGCAAAAAGGAGATCAGTAAAGACGAATCACGTTAGCTCGACAAAAAATTGCGTTCCAAACCCAACAATATTAATCGTTGCAAACTTACGCAGTAAATCCCACCAAATCGGCAAACATGACAGTCGTTTCGGGAAACAAATCGGCAATGGGCTTGGTCTTGAACATGACCAACTGATCTTCCGTTCCCGGATTTTCTTCGTCCAGAAATGTTTTGAGTTTCTTTTTGGGCGCTTCTCCCATGCCCGGCAAAAATGGGACAATTTCCTTGTTGTTGTTGACGGCATCTTCGGCATCTTTCATGATTCGATCACGGACATTACTGGGAAAGAGACTGGTGACAATGGCGTTGGTACGTGCCGCTGTGGCCATGACCTTGGTTTGACGACGTTGGACGATGCGGACGTAAAACAAAAAGAAGAGGGCCGTGGTGGCAAATGCCAACCCCAAAATCGTGGTAAAGACCACGGCTTGAGAACTGGTGTAGGCTTCGCGCATTTCGACGGTCGGGTAGACATCAATCGAAAAGTCGCACTTGACTCCCCCCTCCGAGACGCCGTGAATGGCATTGAGTGGTGTCGTGACAACCTTGTCATTGTATCGCTGGTCGTGTTGATCGCCGACACCGAGGTAGGTGGCAGTGGTTCCCTTAATGCTGTACGAGTATACGGCTTCTCCGCAATTGTTGTTCATGACGGCAATCATTTCATCCGTGCCTTCGTGAATGGCATCACTCAACATCCAATCCCAACGCAGCAAACTCAAGAAAATTCCCTTGAGGTTGCGATCGCGTTCTTCGTCAAACGTGTCGTAGACCGGGTAGAGGACAAAGATGTATCCTTCTTCATTGACGTGACTTTTATTGTAGCTTCCCGAAAGGAGTTCGCGGCGGCCACCACCACCGTCACTAGAGTCGGAGTCGCCTTCTCCTTCGGTATCGACGGCCGTCAACGGGTAGGTTTCATTGAACGCGGGAGTGATATCGGCGTACTGTTCGACGAGATTGGAAAACATGGGATGACGGACCAATTTATCGGACATCACCGGAACCTTGTTGACTTGGACGTACTCGACCAAGCGATTGACATCGGGACTGGAGAGCATGTTAAAGTTGATGGGATAAGGATCGGGAGGAGGAGGACTGATTTGCCAGAGGGGCAACCAAGGAGCGGGACTGGAATTGGGCTTTTCGGGCCAAAATTGCCAATTGCCTTCGACGCGGTAGACCTCCGGTTCAATTTGCGCGGTACTGGATTCTTCGAATTTGTAGGCACCGGGATGAGCAATAGTGGCGCGTTCGTAGCTGTCCAACAACCAGTCCTGATTGGAGACGGAATAATTGTTCCACAGGGTCTTGGCAGTTTCATTTTCGACGAGGGGTGCAAAGGCAAAAATTTCGGTGCGTGTTTCCAAGCGCGTATTTTCTCCTCGGACTTCAAAGTGCGAGACGGTGACAAAGGGCCACGCTTGAGAGGTCGATTCTTCGACCATGGCCGTCAACGATTCGGCACGGGATGCCAGAGCAAAGCTCAGCGCATATGTGCGAGAATGGGCAATGTCTCCCAAGCGATTGGCAAAGCCAGTGAACTATAAAAATAGAAACAGAAATAGAATAGAAATACGAGTAGCCAGGATGATTCAATCAATCATCAGAAGATCATAGCAGAGAAGGGACAGGACCCATGGCGTGGACACAACAGAGACAGAAGAAGAAACAAGGAGAGAGTTCGAGAGAGAGAAGTGAGACAAAGAGCGCGCCAGCCAAGACCCAAAGAACAGTGGTCAAACCACAAGAAGAAGTCAACTCGGAAGCAAGATGTCTACTTCCTTGTCATGACCACTGCTTGGCTGTTTGCTTGTTTGTTGTTACGTTACGTACCGCATCCTGAAAGTCTCTCGTCTCCTCGGCCGTCAAGAAGATGTAGGTGGAGACCGTGACGAGAATGGCCGTCAACAAGAGCATAAAGCTCACAATGGAGCGCCAGACTTTGACGTCACGCGTCAATTTCTTGGCCAAATTGTCGGCAAACGCATCTTCTTTGCCATTCAACCCCGCATGCTGCGTGGGGAAATCGTCCGTAGACGTACTGTGCGCCGAACTCGAGTACGAAGACTCATCGTCAAAGTTGTCCGAACCGTCTTCAATCATGGAATTCTCGCGTTTGGCATCGTACACAAAGTCGTTCCCGTTTGAACTGCGGCTCACATCCACCAGCTGCTTCGGAATCGGCATCTTGTAAACCACTAATAATGTAATGACAATGAAGAGAGGAGAGAAGGAAGGAGAGAGGGGGAGGTGCGTAGCACAGTCAAAGGCAGCAGCTGGGAGCGCTGATGTTGGAAGGTGTGTTGATGTTGTTGGGTGTGCCTGCAATTATGACAAGACAGCAGCGCGGTGCTCACCGCTGCAGAGCTGCAGAGTCACTTTCAGTCTTTCAGAAGCTTTTGTTTGGAGACTTTTGCCAAGAAAGAAACAGAAGATGCCTTTTTCTCTGCTGTTCCCGTCTATGCGTCACTACCTTTGTTACAAGAATTAATGAACGGTACAGGGTCCCACCGTGACAGGGTTTCCAAAAATCCACCAACCAAGACCAGCTTGTGAGAAAGCCGAGAGTCACACTTGGGAGATAGCATCTGGGCTTTGGCACTGGCTAACGGTACGGTAGTAGGCTAGCTAGAAAATAGTACTGGTATCTTTTGGAATAAATAATTGAATAGTTCGTTGAGGTATTGTCCGTATCAACAAACACAACCTGTTTCCCTACCATGTACTAGCCTGTTGCTGATGTCCATGCATACCTACCGGTACATGGCTGGTGCATGATACGATCCTCGCCGCATGAATGGACATCGCTCATGCTGCCAACCAGGTTTGCATGCAAGTACAGTACCAGCCAGAGGTCACATTGGAGGAGGCATGATATGAATGAGAATCTGGTATCTGAGCTCGCCATTGGAAGGGTGTGAGGATGATGCACAAAGCACAAAGACAGCTACAAAGACCATTGATTGGTTGTTGCTGTTACCTCGTCGTGGGTAGCTAGCCGCTCTAGAATACCTCCTTGGAGGGGTCCACGATGGCGGTTTGGTGGTCAAACAGAAGTACATATTCTTAATTTCAAAGTAAAAGCTACAGAGAAGTTAAAATCGGAAGTCTTCGTGACTTTCCACTGTCATAAATATTGCATCTTTTAAATCTCTGTTCCCTAGCAGTTCGCAACTCGAGCTCTGAAGCAGGATCAATGTCCAAGAGCTGCACAAGAGAAAGCCCGTCCTAAGTCCTTACAAGATGACCTCACACCCCACAGTGCTCTGCGATTGGGTGGATCAGCTGTGGATCTCACAAGATTTGGAACTACTATTAATAGCTACCGTACTATTAAAATAGTACAGAGGGCTGTAGTCTCAAGTCTTGTAGGCCGACAGTACACACGGAGTTTATATGTACTAAATGAACCGTACGGGTATTTCAGCGCAATAACAATTGATCGTACGTACGTACGTACCAGCCGCCGCGGTACGGTACTGGAAGCCAGCAGCACGAATGGGCCACCACAAAGTACTAGTAGCTCCAAAGCTTGGCTGCTGACGAATGATCATTGATCAAGGTCTTCAATGGTCGAATTGGTGCAGCTACGCAGCTTGAGAAAGCTCTTGATAAGCTGCTTGATATGATATTGTGTGCAAACAGTTTTTATGTACCAGCAGCCAGCAGTCTTTCCCTTCCCTTCCCGTTCCTTCCGCACCCTTGACTAAACAAGCCACAAGTATTAGTCAAGTACCCGTGCCAGGTACAAGCACGAAACACACTTACCGGTAAGCTCTTTGGCAGCCAAATTCGACTGGCCAAAAAGGTGTAGCCCATACAGGCCTGACTTATGGCACCATTGCTTCTGTGCAGCTTCTCGTCGATACCGTAAACATTCCCTTGTGCTCCACATTCCACATCACCACAATGGTCAAAATTAAATTGAATGACATCGAATCAAACAAAGGACACTGCAGTAGTACAGTATCTAGTTTTGGCTGCTACCGGTAGCTACTCATCAGTGCTGAGTACGGTAGTAACTTGCTTCACATCCGCTCACAGCAGGCTCCTGCAAATTCCTTGAGAATCATTTGTTCCTGGCCCCGGCTGGCTTCCGTAGATAATTACCCTACTCTAAACCCCCGTTTATTTTTTGTTCCTTTCTTTTGTAAGCTCTCTTGGCTCCATTGATGCGGCGCAAGCTAAACCAAGTTTCCCAGCGTAGGCCTACTTGTAGTCTATCTGGCAACAGTGGCAACAGCTGAGGTCTTCCGCTGAAAGCGGCCAAAGGCATCTTTACTTGGCCACGATAAGTCATCAATAAGTCTAAACTGCCCTCACCAGAGAAGTCGACTGCGAGCTGCCCACCAGTACGGTAATGAAATTCAATCAGCCATCAACACCACAGGCCTACCGTATTATGTGCTATATTTTTGTAGGACCCGGCAAGCGACGATTTTGCCGCTTTGTTTTCCACGCTAGCTCTCCACGAAGCGTAAGGCTTCCCCTTTTTTGTTCACGTTCATGACTCAATCTTGATCGAGTGCGGGCCTTTTGCTCTCACCCACCTAGCTAGCTAGAGTCTAGCTAGCTAGCCGGTAGCCACCGATCTTTTGCACCACTCTGTCAACAAACAAAAAGGATCCACTTGACCATGAGCTCTTCTTCTCCCCCATCCACCTTGTTGCTGGTGGCTGGCACTGCGATCACAGCGTCGTTGGCCACATTGGCTCTTCAGCGACTGTATCAGGAACGAACGAGTTCGTCTAGTAGTAGTACTAACAAGAAGAATCGCCGTGCCCCCAAACGATGTGCCGGTGCCATCAAGCTACAGAAAGACCAATTCGACCGCTACACGCAACTGCACGATCATGTGTGGGAAGAAGTCTTGGATCGAATGTACGATTCCAACATTCGCAATTTCACCATTTACTATCACGAAGAAACGTCTACCATGTTTCATCATTTTGATTGGATTGGTGGAATGGATTTAGCGGTAGAAGATGCCGCTGAAATCGAACGACGCTTCCAAGACGATATGAACGCCGTGGCGGCGGACGAAGCCACGCGGGAATGGTGGGGATATTGCGAACCTTGTCAAGAACCCTTTCGTCAATGGCCGGCCGGTCTGAAACCTCACAGCCAACAACCAAAATCAGTTCCACCCAAAGGAGATTGGTGGGCGCCCTTGGTCTGCCTCAATCATTGTGGATATTGGCCGGTCGAGTATTCCGATCAAAAACGAGATCCTCATTTTGTTCCTCAAAATCCAGAAAAAGAAACGTCCAGTCGCAGCAATCCACCAGAGGACTCGATTTAGTCTGGCAGTCAAGAAAACATGATACGACAAGGGGCACATACCGCTCTGGGTCAATCAATGCTTGGACCGATCTCTACAGGCGGAATACAACTGTTCGGCTATTCCCAACGCTGAGTCGGTCAACAGCAAATGATCTAGCTAGATTACCGCCAAGAACTTTAAAACTCAGTTTTCAATAACCTCCTCCAAGTCTTCGTCCAACTTTGGAAGTTTGGGCCTATTTGCTTCTTCCTTGCCAGGTTGCTTGGTCTTTTTCTTCTGCTCACGCTGGTGGCAACAACCAGAAGGCACATCCATATAATATAGTACGACGAAGTACTCTAAGTGATCAAGGAGGTTTGATTTTTATGAAATGGCGGCGAGAGAGGAAGGTCCAGCCAGCTAAAACAGGGATGTACCATCCTGCTTTGGATGGGAGAGAGTTTGGATATTAGTGAAGGCTCCGCGGTGATTGGCCGTTCCAACTCAGCCATGGTAATGGCTGGCTGGCCTCGGAAATCATTCTCTTCTCGACGACACTGAGGGGCAACGTTTTTATACTTTTTGTTTTTGCTCACTTTGCTTGCGGAAGCCGTTGAAAGTACAATGTTGTGAAAGCAATGCAAAGAGCAAGAGATCCATGGTGTGAGTTGCTACCAGACACATATGGCGCCATTGTACCCAAAGGCCCCTTCCGGTGCTACTAATGCAACAAGCAGCAGCTTCTCTACTATGGTTCTGAGTGGTGGATGCAACCAGACCCCACTAAACCAATAGCTAGCTAGCTAACGTTTGGGGGGACAACCAATATATCTCCTTTTGATCAATTCCTACCAAAAATTATGTTAGGATCCAGGGCAGCCATTGTCGCGTAGCCACTGGATCACTTCGCTTTGGTTACGCAAGATGGCAAACTGATATGTAAATTCATGCCATGGACAACTATTTTCACGAGCCCACTTTAAAATCTCCAAATAATCACTCTGCAAGGACAGCCATTTTCACGAGCCCACTTGAGAATTTCCAAATGCCCACCTTCAGCCACAGAGGCACATGTTTCTACATCCCATGGACACCCATTTTCACGAGCCCACTTGAGAATTTCCAAATGTCCGGCTGCAGCAGCACGCGAGCATGTGCATTCATCCCATGGACACCCTTTCTCACGAGCCCACTTGAGAATTTCCAATGTCCACCTTCAGCCGCAGAGGCACATGTCTGTACATCCCATGGACACCCATTTTCACGAGCCCACTTGAAAATTTCCAAATGTCCGGCTGCAGCAGCACCTGAGCATGTACGTTCATTCCATGGGAATCCTTGTTGGTGGGCCCATTGCATGACCATAATATTCCCAATTTTGGCAATTGCAGTGCAAACCTCCCAACGATCCGGGGTTTTGGTGCTGGAATTGTCCTTGAGCCAGCATTCTGTGCGTGGCTGGTTACAGAATGTTTCGCAGCAAAGAGTGTCGGTGATTTCTGCAGAGCGACTGGGAGAATAATTGTTAGCCCATACCTTTCTTGGATTTTTCTTTAGCTCAATCTTGCAGTACTCTTTGTACGCCTTGTTCATCTGTTTGTTGACAGCTCCTACAAAAGCATACTGGCCAACACCAACAAATGATAGAATCTGGCCACTCCAAATCAAATCATCAGCAAACAGATGAGGAGACTCTGCAATACCTTCATCGTTCGCGGCAGCATTTGTATTCATAGTGAAGTTAGTTGGTTGGAATGATCCTGAGGCAATTTTATGTTTTGTCATGGCGTCGTGGCATGGGGGCATGGGGGCAGCGTGGCGGCAACTCCAGGCCGTTGTTTTAGCGTGCGAATTTGGGGTACATGTACTACTAGCTAGTAGCTAGCTAGTTACAGGTACCGGTTTCTGTAGCTAGATCTATCTTTCAACGTGAATTTGGGGACAGAACACATTTGGCTTCCACGGTGCTGATGGCTCAGCCTTCCACGATGAGATTTGGCAGCCAACGGTTTGTAATGAAACGGGGATTTAGAGTACCGGTAGATTATCTACGGCAGCCAAGCCTGACCACACAAGATAGATGAAAGTGCATCAGTCCATGAGATCTATCTTTTTGCCCACCGAAGGAGATCCTATTATTAGATGCTAACGGTCAGCACGTGCAATCCTGTCAACGAGCCCTGGAGGTGAGCAGTAGGCTTGGTATATATAGCGGCAAACTAGACAGCAACGCCTAGAGCAGTTGTGCGCTTGAGTTACTTGACGACGAAGACCATCAGACTCCACACTCATTCTGAGGGCTGGCACCCAAGTACCAAGACGTCGATGTCGAACTCCGCGGAGCCTGCACCAGACATACGGTAATCGAGAAGAGTACCATACTGATTGAATGATGAATCGAATCGAATCGATCAGCGGCTGCACCCTTGTGGGTGTTCGTCGTCAGCGCGCATTGGCTAGTACTTTTGCATTAGAGTCGGAAATTCTTTGTTGTCGACATGTGTCTGGTTGCTTTGTCGTGATGTATTATTGGCTGGTACCGCCAGGAGAGTCCGGCAACCCCCCTTTGTTGCTGCCCGCAGTTGAACTCGTTGTTTGCCGCTGCAAAAAGCCAGCGACGACCCTCAATAAACCCCGCCAACAAGATCTTTTCCGGGTCAATTTTGACAGTCCTGGTTGGCTGTCTTTACCAGTAGGACCACCCCCGGCTTCTCGTTCGGCTTCAAGTCGCTGCTTGGCTTCGTATTCTTGTCGAACAACCTCGTCAACACTTTGAATCTTGGCTAGCTCCATTTCCTTGTCCGTAATGGGTTCGGGCAGCTCAGAGAAGAGGAAGGGAATGACTCCCGCATCCACCTTTTTGTGGACATACCAAGCCACTTCCTTCCGTGAAGCCGTAGAGAGACATGTACGATGTTTCTCGTAGTGCTCGGATGCCGCATCAATGTTTTCCGCAATGAGATGTTGAATGATCTGGGCCTTGATGAGTCCCCCTTTGGCCACTTGGCTCTTGGTATGCACTTCCTTGGAGAGCTGGAGGAATGAGCTTCGTCGTTCTCTCGAGGAGTTGGCGAACGATTCATGCACCTTTTTAAAGCGTATGGTGCCAATGGGAAGCTGATGATGGTTGTTGTTGACGATGACATAGTCTTTGGGGATGGTGCGGTAGCGGCCCGGACAAAACCAGCTGGGTTGCACAATCACGGACGAAGGCAACACCACGACAAAGACGAGCATCTCCAATCCACCATGACAAAATGCAATGGACCCGGCAGGATTCTTGCTAAAGTACTCTCCAGGACCGTATGCTTGTCCTCTGCGTTTCCTCCTGGGGTTCAAACCATGCCGGAGAATGTAGCCAATATTGCCAAGGGACGTCCCGTGAAATACAACTCCCAAACAAGCCCCATCCTGCAGATCGGAAAGAGCCTTTGCAAACTTGTCACGGGCGCCACAACAACCAACCTTTTGTAGTAGATGTGCATTGGGGTGAAACGTTGCCGATTCCAACCCAGCCTTGTAGCAATGACTCCCAAAGTTGTCTGTTTGGCAGAACGCCTGCAACTCCTCCACGATACCTCTCATCAGGCCAGCACTCTTGGCAAGTTGTTGTTCGTACTCTTTCGTCATTATACAACCAGCCATGTCTCTGGAGCGATAGAGAGCGTGTAAGATGATCTTCAATTGCTGTTGGTGCGAGTCATGCTCTTCCCAGCCGTTGGCATTGGCATTGTACACGATGAAGCGAGAGTTGCCGAGGCTCTCGTCGACTTTTCTGACAAGTTCCATCCTTTCTGAAAGGGAAATTGGTTCTTGGAACTTTGGAGCAAATTTATCAATTACGGTTCTGAAGTTTTGGGTTCCTGGATGATGGCTGACAACACCAGCCTTTCCAAAGCTGAATGAAGCATTTTTGGAGCAAAGAAAAGAACATGCATGTGAGTTTTCCCCGAAACCAAAAGCCGCTTTGGTGATCGCATCTATCTCATCTATCTCATCACTTACAGAATATCCTCTGGTCTGGGATCGGTGATGATAGGTTTGGTTTCCTTTTTGTTTTCTGTGGGTGCCATGGTTTCTTCTTCTTGTGTTCTATCATCAGACTATGGTATATGGTATCCATGCATGCAGAAAATGGCCAAAGCAAATCGGATGATCGGTTGATTTTTGCCGGGTTTGTGTATGTAATGTTCAACAATAATTGATTGATGGCCAATACAAACATCATTCACGTCGTGTAGATACAGTACAAAAAATCGATCATTCAGAAAGACCACAGCGATGGGAAAGATTCGGCAACGTCGACAGACCAATCATACTCAATTATCACACAGCAGCAGTGTGGCAACAGAGCAGAGGAACAGAGCCCGACTCGACTTACTCGAAGTTTGCGGCGTGCTTCACGTTCGGCTTCCTCCGCAGCTTCCTTGGGCGTGGGGCTCTTCGTTCCATCGTTTCCAGAGGACGACACCATGGTCAATAACATGTCAACACGCTGCCAAAACAACGATCGAGTGGGCCCCTGCCTTCCAATAATTCATATGCCCCCTGGGTCGTCTCCGTTTCCATAAATCTTTTATTACCAACACCTAACTCCCTTTATTGAAACAGTATTCGCGCGCTCCGCGCGCTCATCCCTTTCAGCTTCGCCCCGAGCCTCGAAACTGCTCCCTCGTCATTCATGCAAAACATGTGAAGAACGCAAGGCGACTTTCATGTGCATGTACATGCGTTGACTGTATCCCGTCAATACAATACTAGTCGAATACGTAGACTTCTACAGAGGCCTCTAAGTAATGCACGCGGGGTATAATTCAAACCTCCACTCCCCAAAAGTACCCTTACCCCTAAAAGCAAATCGTCTCCGGGAGACGAAATAATAATAATAATAATATAAAGTGCCGTCAGTCGTGAAAAGCTCAAGCAGCTGTCCTTGGTGGAAGGGCAAAAGATCCAAAAGATCCAAAAGATACGCAAGCTGCCTTCAATCCCAAGCAAGAAAGGTGCCTCACAAAAAACAAGCCAACCACAAAACCAGAAAGTCCATCAATCCATCAATCACTGCAGTTGGTTGTAGACTACTATTAATAGCTAACTAGCTAGCCATGGGCTTCTTCCTCGGAGAGAGCTTGCGACCAGCCGCTACTCTGTCGTTTGTTACCACGAGCAGCCATGGATGTGGCAGACTGTCTCGTGCTGCCTCTTCTTACTTGACGACGAGGCAGCCGTTCCTCTCTGCTGCCAATCAAAAAAAGCAGCAACCATCACTCCACGGTAGTAGCAAGCTGTTTTACAGCACTCACTCATCCTTCAATGACGAGATTATTGATCAATACGATGCCTTTGTGCTCGATCAGTTTGGGGTAATGCACAATGGGAACAATGCTTTGGATGGAGCGATTGCGCTGGTGGAATACCTGTACAAGAAGAAGAATAAAAAATTGATTATCCTCTCCAATACATCGGCTCCAGCCGACAAGGCACTTTCCAGATTACCCAAGTTTGGCTTTGATCCCAGTCATTTCATTGGAGCCGTGACCAGTGGGGAAGAGTCCAGTCATTATATTCGAGAAACCTATGGGTCTTCATCTACCGATAGTACAACCAGCAAAAAAGCCGTCATGTTCACGTGGGACGTGGAAAAGCCAAACAATCCTCGCCTCACGGCACTCCCGGAGGTCTATTTGGAACAATGTGGGTCGGTACAAGTGGCGACAACCGTCGAAGAAGCCGATTTTTTACTATTCCACGGCTCGGAAGCGTGGTATCGTGGTCCCGACTTGCCCGCCGAGACATTGTCTCCGTTTATTGAAGACGGCGATTTTACCACTGTCGACCCTCTCTTGGAACAATGCCTGGCCAAGAATCTGCCAGCCGTCTGTGCCAATCCGGATTTTGTCGTCCAAACACCCACGGGAGATGGGGTGGCACACATGCCCGGAAAAATTGCCGCGCGCTACGAGAGCATGGGTGGAACCTGTCATACATTTGGAAAGCCGGGCGTAGAACACTTTGAAGCTTGCATACGAAAACTGGGCTTGGACAAGAGCCGTGTGGCGCATGTCGGCGACAGTCTGCATCACGACATTACCGGTGCCTGCAATGCCGGGATTCCCAACGTCTTTGTCGCTTCTGGAATTCACAAGAACGAATTGGGAATCGAGTTTGGTGAAGTACCAGATGCAACCGTGCTGCAAACGTTGATGGAAACACAAGTGGATGCGTCCATTCGACCTACCCATGTGGTGCCGGCATTTCGAATGTGATGAGTTTTTTGACACTTGACTTTGCAGTGGACGCTGCCAACTCAAAATGAGATTGCATTCACAAAGATGGTACCAGAATACCCCAAAGTGGTCGAACGCTATTATTAGCTAGCTAGCAAAAGCATAACCGTACTAGAAACTCTGCCAACATGTCTTGCTTCGAACTTGGGTTCAACCAAGCCAACTACATGAGGGGTGCCGCAGTATGTCCAGTCGCCTCGACCGCCAGAGACGGCCGGAGCGCTGTGGCTTGCTGTCAAAGCAAAGTCACACGATTTCTTCGTCCACCTCACCGCCGCAAGAAGACTTTCGCGTTCATCTATCTACGAGCCGTGTACGTCCCTCGCGGTCGCGTCCGTACCGCTCTTTGGCCGCACAACGACTCAACCCTGGATGGGAATTTCCATAGATCTCGTTCTGGTCTCTGGCAATTAAGCTCTTATTTCCAAGCCCTCGTGTTGATTGCTGATGCAGCCACACTTGAGTCGTCTTGGGTACAAAGCAGCAGCGCAAGCTTGGAAGCATCATCCAAGGGTTCACCTCGGCCGATAGGTATTAGGTATCACCCTGTCGTACGTGTTGGTCCAAGTCTCCGGGTCGATCGATCCGTCCTTCCATCAAATCTGGTACGCTGTCTCTCGTCGAGAGATTCACAATGACATCTCGAAAGGGTACGCCTTCCAGCGATTTCTTGATTTCAAAGGATGTTATACATGTAGATCGGTGGCTCAGGCATGTACTATCAACCAATGATATGCACGGCAACTTTTGAGATCAGGACCAGGGTGGCGGCTGTACCGTCCGACGCTATCCATAGAAGCCTGCTCGACCATTGCACCCAAATGACCAAACCATCTCGAGGCTCCCGTAGATAATCTCCTTACTCTACTAGCATGCAAGATTCCCCCTTATCTCGAGGAGCAGATCCTTATTGATTAAAACGGCTTGGTGCCAATCAGCCCTCTCGGTCATCCCGCTTTTGCCATCGAATTAGCAACATCAGTTGAAGCAGGCTGAAACTATGTGTGTAAACCAAACACAGAAGTAATATTATAGGACATGCAGTTAATGAGCTACCAGTTCCAATATTCAATCAACCATAGGCAAGAGAGTGCTGCCAAGACCTTCTTCGGTGATACCATGTCTTGGTATTTTAGGCTGCTTGGCGAGGAAAAGTGGCACCGGGACGAACCATGGGGGGTTTCCAGATCACAACTTACAGATCTAAACCCAAATGTCTTCCTCCTTCACTGATGCATCGGAGATCCCAATCGACATCATTTCTGTCGGGTCAGCCAACATGTCAGGAGTTTGGGTCTTCTTTTTGGAGGCAAAGGCACTTCGAAACCAGCCGAGTGGCTTCTTGTCTTGTTTGGTTGACTTCTTGTGCCCAGTCTTCTTGCTGCTAGCTGGCTTCACGACGATCGACTCTTCCACTGGAAGCTGGCTGTGAAACAGAGAAACATCTTTAGTAGAGGAGAGGCTGTCATCATCCTCGCAGCTCTTGGCCACAACAAACCAAATCAAGTCCTTGCTCTTCTGAACTTCATCTTGCTCAAATCCTTGGGCCAGGTAGGCATCAGAGACTGGCAGAAACTTAGGATCCGTACTCATCTCTAGGACCATCTTGGCATGCTCCATGCAAGCCTTGAGATCTTTCTTTGTGACAGTTACTGGTTTGGTGTAGGCTGAACCAAAATCCCACAAGTGCCTAGGCTTGGGTTGCTGGTAAGCATCCTTGCTGCTAATGTACTTCCAAAGGCCGCTGTGGAAATTCAGCTTGTAGTGAGACATCAGCTTGTAACCTTCATTGGCAATGAGATTGACAGCATCAATCATGTACTTGACAGTCTCTTCACTCATGTAGTAAGAGAATGCCACACGAGTCCATCCAGGCTTGATTGCATCACCAAGAGGTTCCATGGCACCAAAATCCTGTCAGATTTCACATTATCAATATCCAACAATAGGTGTCCATAGGGCATGGCACAGCTGCAACCTCCACGAGCCTGAATACCAAAGAGGTCATTGAGCAAGGCCACAACAAAGTTGTGGTGAATGAAACTTCCACTGGTACCAGGAGCTTTCACCAGAAAGGACACAATGGGTACTCGGTTAGCATTGGTGCTTCCCAGAAGCACAATGTTGCTGTTCTGCTGCCAGGACTTGAATGCCTTCTGCAAAAAGTAGTTCTCGTGTTGTTCAATCCAATCACCACCAACTTTGTGGTGGAGCCCAAAGACCAATCCACAACGAATTGATTCAACAATGGGTGGAGTTCCACCTTCTTCTCTAGTCTCGATGTCATCAAGATACTCCTGGTGGTGGGGTTGAACAAAGGTGATAACCCCCCCACTGGGAATGGTAGGGACAGCGTTGGTGAAGAGGGAACGACGGGCAATCAGGACTCCTGGAGTTCCTGGCCCTCCAACAAACTTGTGGGGAGATAGATAGACTCCATCTATATCATGTTCTTGGAGATCAATAACCACATGAGGTCCTGCAGCAGCAAAGTCCCAAACAGCCAGTGCTCCATGCTCATGAACCAACTTCGTCACAGTCTTGGTATCGCATCGGATTCCTGTCACATTCGATGCCGCTGAGAAAGAGGCAAGTTTGAGGGGACGATCTTTGTAGAGAATAAGCTGCTGGACAAGTTCCTGTTCATCCAACAAGCCTGTGCTGGGATCTTGAGGGATGACAACACAGTCAACATTGCCACATTCACGCCAGAGCAGTTCATTCGAATGGTGCTCTTGTGCGGAGATGAAGACAACCCCACGCTGGGAAGGTTCCTCTATGGAAGCAGCAAGAGGTGAAATCCCCATGACAGCAGCCAGCTTGTTCATGGCAGCAGTGGATCCAGATCCACAGAAGATGACAGCATACTCATCCTGGGGGGCATTACAGGCTTCTCGAATGGCACCGCGAGCATCTTCACGATAGGTGGTAGTCTGCAATCCAGTCTCAGATGCTTCGGTGTGCGTGTTAGCATAGAAAGGCAAAACACACTCTTGGATGTAATCTTCAATGAGGGACAAGGACCGTCCACTTGCAGTGGAGTCAGCATAGACAATTGGTTTGGGGCCAAAGGGACCGTTGAGTACATGACGTTGGCCTCCAATGATGCTCTTGCGGATAATCTTGCTGTTGACAATGGGTTGAACGTTGATCTTCATTGTCTCAAAGCTAAAGCAGGAGAAAGGTTTGCGAGAGATTGTTTTTTCTTGTGTTCTTGGTTGAAGAATCAAAATTATGAATGGATCAATCCGTTGATTTGGAGCAACTAAAAGTTGTTGTGGCTGCCATTTCTTTTGCTCGGTGCCAGGACTACACTTTCAAACTTCCCACAGATATTGCTAGCTAGAGCACGCTCTCTAGCTAGCTACATGTAGAGCAATAGTACAGAGTTTGCGTTTACGAGACCCAAGAGCCGGGTTTGAATTTGAAACTTTCTCCTCACAATGAGCGAGCAAAATTTCTACTCGAGTATCGCGCAGGATCTATAGCATTCTTAAGCCTAGCCCCGGCTGGCTTCCGTAGCTAATTTCCCTACTCTAAAACCCCCTTGATAGCATTCACACTTGTTACATCTTTTCTTGAAGTGAACTGGAGCCGTACTTCGACCAGTCGTCCTACAAATTGAGCAACAAATAAATGTTATCCTTCTCTTACATCTATCCTTCTCTTACCTGTACATAACATCATAACCTTCTCGAGTGAACCTTGCATGCCATACTGGCTACCGTACAGGTAGTACGACTGCAATATCTACCGGTTCAAACGTTCAAACGTCCCCCACTTTATGAAATGTTTGAAGGGGTGTTTAGAGATTGCTTTTAGTACTCCTAAATACAGTTTACGACAATAATTCGTACATGTACCAGTACCATTGCCCTCTATTGTCTGGCTGGAGCTACAAAGGCTACAAATACTGTAGAGCTATAAGAGATCTACTGTAGTCTAGCTACATGAAGTACATCGTAGAACAACATTTTGGAAACACCAGATTATACGTCTACCAACTACCAACCATGGCACATGGCTGCGGACTCCGAAAGCTCGCTTGCATGTGAGTGAGTGCTACCGGTGCCCGGTAGAGGAAATGTAATGCTAGTTCGTTTGCTAGAGCGAAGCTGTATGAATTTTTGCCTTATGCCTCATGCAGCTTGGCGTTTGCTTCGCCACCACGGCACGAACCATTGCAACAAAAATGGCAAGCTTTATTCGTGTACATATAGTCCATGCCTAACGTACCCATCATCCATCAATACGCTACTCTATCCAGGTTTGCTTTGGAGGAATCGGATTTGCTTGTGTCTAGCTACTTCGCATCCGCTTTTTGGCAATTTCGAGGAATCAATCCGTCAACATTGAAACAGATGCTAGCTACTCCAGTATTAGAGAGAGGAATCATTGGTGATGTACCTGTAACGGGAGGTGGTGAACTCGTGCTTGCTCAACTCTAGATGCTGTTTTATTAATTGATGTTGATCGCGTTTACGTAGTTATTTAGACATTTCATTATCGAAAGTTGCACAAGACTATATCAGCCAAATCCTACAACCTTTAATTGAATTGTCTCACGGGGTTCTTTTGCATCGTAAAAAGCGACTTGAGAGTTGAGAGTTCTGGTACCAAGAAATCAAGTTTTCGTTGGACTGATCGATTCGATTCGATTCCACCCCACTCCCAATTTTTCGGTATGGTACACTCTTGGCTGATGGTCAACTACTACATGTAGTCTAGGTCCTGCAGTCTTGGAGGTGGTCCATGCAGATGGTCCTGGAGGTCTTCATGCATACAGTATGGTCCTGGTGATGATTGATCATGTACCAGTACGCAGGGTCTGGTGGTGTCAACAGACCGGCGTTGCTGGGAAATGCATGCAGTAAAGCCCAGTGCGCTATATCGCATAAACAGGGAATGTGTTTCCTAGCTATTTGGTCCTATTTGCGGCGACTACAGAAAATGGTCCATGGATGGTGTATCAAATGAATCGAATCGAATCGAATCAATCTGGATCCATTCGTGTAATAATTCAAAAGTATTCAGAGAGCAACTCCTTGACGAACGTACAGCCAAAGAGCTTCCCTAAAACTGAGCAATAGATTGTTTGAGGTGTCATAGCAGTGCTAAGGCTGCTGCGTGCTGAGGGTGGGATTCGCTTGAAACACGCCACGGTGTGCTTTCTCCTCCTATGCAATAGGCTAGCTAACTCGGCTGTCAGGTTGATCAAAGCAATGGACGATGGCATTTTACTGGCATGATGACTATCCTTGGTGGTAACGAGTCTGTGCCATTGTTGCTCTACAATTTCCATGCTCTCAGGGTCATGTGCTCGTAATAGGAACATGCACGTTCCTTCCCTGTACAGGTACCGGTACCGGTACTAGTAGACTATCCGTCGTAATATTTGCTACATGTAATAGCTAGTCTAGCTACCGTACGGCAGTAATTTGTACTTGTCCTGCATATAAATTTTATTTGTGACTTTGGCCTTGGCGTAAAAAATGACTATGACTCACTCTCTACCTGTATCTCGGGCACACGTTTCGTCCATACAGGTAGACTGTGAGATCTTCACGCGATAAGTTCTTGAATCGATATCTTGTGGGCTACTCGAGAGCTACTTTCAGTGACCTACAACATCAGCTCATGTGGACTGGCCTGTGACTGTGCCTATGGTGCTAGAGCTAGAAGGCACACCAAGTTGGGCTTTGAAGCAGCATTACTAGTGTTATTGCTCTAAAGCTCACTTGGAGTGGATCAATTCACAAAGATCGATCGATCCAAGAAAAGAACAAAAGTGAGGAATCGGGGCTGCAGAGGTGCATGCGCCCTTTTCGCGCGAAGCTTCACTACGTATCCCGGGACTTGCGGAAAAGAAAGCACAAAGAAGGCCACCAGCAACTAAAAACTCCATCATTTTTCCAACATTCCCACGCATCATAGTCCACTCTGACCACAAAGAAGGAACCCAATCTCAAATACAGAACCAGAGCAGAGGCAAGTCGATCGACAATGCCAAAAGCCTTGAAATCAAGGGCTGCCAGGGGGAGAGCAAGAGCTGCCAAGGCGAGTGCCCAGCCAGCGGAATCCACAAAACCCAACAAAAGGATAGTGATATTCGGCTTTTTATTATGTTTAGGAGTTTGTCTGTCATTTCAAAGGTCCCATCTGGATTTGAATGCCTTGTCGGAAAGTATGTTGCAATCCATCAGGGCACTTGAAGGCACAGAAAGTGTTACTAATGCAGTAACCGGCTCTGAATCATCAGTTGGAAGCCAAGCCTCCTCAAAGAATAAAACGGCAAGACCGACCATTGGCCTTACTATTATTCACTGCAAGGAGAGCGAGCAAAAAATGCAATGGTTAAAGGACATCCCATCAGACTGGCAAGTTGTAGTTTACGAGACATGCAGACAGGCAATTTCCCCACAATTTTCCAAGCCATTCAAGAATGCTGGGTCGGAAGAATGCACGGGGTATCTTCAAACCATTATCGAAAACTACGACAATCTACCAGATATCAACATTTTCTTTCAGTCTGATGGCTTTATTGGATTGGGTCGAAAGGACTACTGGGGGGAACACTCCCCCTTCAAGAACGTCCAAGAGCTGCTGAATGCGACCCTGGAATATTCCGAAACATGGGAGGGATCCATGTTTCTACATTATGGACCAGGGGGAATTCCCGCCGGGCATTTACGGATTGCGAATGTCAACAGCGATAAAAATGCCTATACTGAACGAAACCCACGAGACGTCTTTGACATTATGCAACTGCCGTATTACAAGGGTGATGACAACATCCAATCCACCGATCCAAACGTAACCCGTACCGAGACCCGTTCTGGGGCTTGCTTTGCGGCGTCACGAGAAAGAATTCATTGGAGGCCTGTCGAAACTTACAAGAAGTTACAACAAAGCATCCTTGCCCTGGATAGTAATCAGGCTCGCCGGAGGTGCTGTGCACTGGAAAACACTTGGCATGCCGTTCTTGGAGAACCATACATTCTACCCTCCAGTCACACAGTGGACCATTTGTGGCTTGGCAAGAAACATTATTACCCAGGAATTTCTCGGGCATGGTTCGACCGTCAACCACCCAATATCCAAGAGCAATTCAGGTCCCAAGTAGCAGCCGCACAAACCAATCCACCAGTTCAAACCACACCTCCATCTGCAAAACCACCACCGAAATATGGTGTGACAGTGGTTCACTGCAATGAAGACACTACTCGAATGAGTTGGTTGAATGAGATTCCCCCCGACTGGAAATTGACCGTGTGGGAGACTTGTGGACAAAGTGTCGCCTCTCCAGGCTCCAAACCTTTCAAAAATGCCGGGTCGGAGGAGTGCTCGGGCTACCTCCAAACCATTGTGGAAGACTACGACAACCTTCCCGATATCAACTTTTTCTTGCAATCGGATGCTCTGATTGGACGAGGAAAACCCACCAAAGTGTGGCGTCACGAGCATACTCCCTTCAAAACCTTTATGGAGCTCCGTGTCGCTGCCGAATCCTATCGTTGGGATTCCGCACGTTCCACATTTCTTCATTTTGGACCGAAACAATTGGACATTCCGAACATTAATGACAAGGAATTTACATTGGCATACCATCCAAGGGACATTTTTGACATTATGGGCTTGCACTACTCCAAGGATGCAACAACAGCAGGCAACACGACCACTCAGACTCGAACGGGTGCTTGCTTTGCCGTTACCAGAGAACAGATCCGATGGAAGCCCAAGGAGCACTACAAAAAGTTGCAGGATAGCATTCTGCTGGGAGAGAGCAGTCAGGCTCGATATAGGTGTTGGGCTTTGGAGAACACATGGCATGCGGTCTTGGGGCAGCCTTACATGCTACCTTCCACAAGTACAGTGGACCACTTGTGGGATGCAAGGCTGAATCTCTATCATGGTCAATATGGCAATCAGCAACAGCAGTGATCCAGCATCTGATGAGGGAAGCCCTCTACTAGAGCCAAGAACTCTCTCTCTCTCTCTCTCTCTGGATCCATTTGTTTGTACATTGTTTTCGAACGAAGGCCATGACCTTGTGGCTGAACAGCGACGATGCCCTCTAGCTGGTGAAAGAAACTCATTGTGGCTGAGCTGATGATAACCCGTTTGTGTAAATTTGGCTATCTACAAGCAAGATCTAGCTAGCCATGCACACTGTAGCTCTATGAAGACTAGCTAGCTCCGCCCATCCATGTTTCACTTCCTCTCCTCTCTGATTCCACGCGCCCACGCAATCCTTGCCTGTGCAATGACAGAACAGATAGACCTACTATTAATAGCTAGCTAGCTAGCTACCGGTAGCTAGTACCGGTAGATGTTATCAAACTGAGATGCCCGGTCGAAAAGAAGGATGAACGGATAGGAAAGCTTCCAATAGATTTGATGAGCTGATGAGCTGATTGATGTTGTACGGTACCAGTGCAGGTGAACTACTGAGAGCACTACAGTAATAAGAGATTTCAAGACTATGTGTGTTTGATAATTCTTTGTTTCCGACATATGACCAGTGGGCCTTCCATCTAAACAAAGGGAGTCTCCATTATTATATTATCAATTGCAGATCGAATGGTGGGCAGCTGACACCATGAGTCATTGCACATTCGGAAACTGTCACAGCAACTACACAACAGCTACACAATAGAAGATAGAACCCCCAATTGCCTTTGAACGGTCTTTGATGTCGCCGCCACTATTGCGCCCAGTGCGTTTGCGCTCGGGACAAATTTGCTGGGTCTTAAAGCTCTGGCACTGTTGCGTAAATAGTTTCTGCATTTATTTAAACCCTTTTATTGTCACTTAGGACAAAGACATTTTGAATGACTGTGACTGCCCTGAAGGTCTTACCGTAAAACGACATCAGAGCAAAAAGTCGCAACTCGCTACACCTCCTCCTAAACAAACAAAGGAAGGAACTTGTACAGTTCTGTGCTCGTGTTGGCGAAGCTGTAGGTTTGTACGGGGATTGGTCGTAGAGTTGCCGAAGGGTTGTCCATCTTGAAGGCACTTTGGCTTTTTGACAGGTAACCACCGAGAACCTCTGTGCTTCTGCTTTCTGGTCTTGTGGTGAACTCTTGGAGTCACTCTTGGGAAGGGGCTTTGATTGCATTGATGAACAGGTTCGTTCTTTGACCAGGTGCAATTCGCAAGACACAATTTTTTCGCCCTCGTTCCGAGCACACTTACTTTTGCTTTTAGCGAGCACACTTTTTGCCGTTGGTTTATCAGGACTCAAAACACTCAAAAAACTAAAATAACTCACAATGATGATGGAATTCAGCAACGACTCTTTGGCGCAACGCCGCAGCGTTCGTCTTCAAGAAGTGGCCCGCATGGAAGACCTCGCCGTGGGCAAGGGCGCTGCTCGAGATGTGTTGGTGCTGGACACGAGCAGCAGCAACAGCAGCAATCACAGCAGCAGCAGCAGCACGGCTCCACCCATGACGCAGTTGCGACGCGGTCATACCATTGATTGTTCGTCGACCGGCAACCGTCGTCCTTCGGATGTGGAGATTCGATCCTTGTGGCGCATGCGAGTCAATCAGATCAAGTTGGATGATCTCTCTTGTCGCTCCATGCACTCTCATGCTTGAGTGGGCGATCGGATGCTATAACGAGTCGGCAATGACCGGCATCTCCCTCTGTTGACACTCAATTCAGATCAAGACAGATTGAAGATTCCTTTTCAAGAACAACACACCCTGCCACCCTGGTCTCGTACTATGCTATGATTGGCCATAACCACCCAATGATGCACTGCTGCAGTCCCTGCTGAGACCATAAGGTGGCTCGCTGGAGAGCATGATTTTCGGGTTCTTGGTTCCTGGGTTGGGGTTAACCAAAAGTCCAGCTCAGTCTGCAAGGGAAAGGTGATACTGTATTGGCTTTCATACACAAGGTACATGTTAGCGGAAAGCAAGAAAAGCTAGTACAAATAAATATATACATTATTAGGGATACGTTTGAACAAAAACTGACTACCTGTACATGTACTGTGGAACACGCTGCACTAGAGCGCCTGAGGGTAGCCAGGAGAGATGGGGTATCTTGTTGTAACTAGGTTCGTCTAGCTAGCTAGAAATAGCGATGGGGTATCGGTTGTATGATGGTGATTGGGCGTGGTAACGGTAACGGTAGCACAAACCGTGCGGTATCCAGTTGTGTACCAATGTCGTGATTGCCGTCGGGGTATCCAAATTGTACCGCCGGCAGTACCTGCACTTGTGATTGCCAGGAGTGGGGTGGGGCCAGAGCTCTCGGAGCGATGGATTGAATCATTAGGTCCCTGCAGCAGCGCGAGTTGCTTTTTTGGGTTGATGTCAGTGCCATTGCCTGTCAAGCCTCGCTAGGGAATCATGTTGACCGACAAGGAACATTTCTACTCAGAGTAACCGATTTGCCTGCAGCGTCGGTTCTTGCTTTGGCCTTGTCTGCGCCAGACTGCCTGGCGTAGAACAAGTGAAAAGGATGAAGATAGCTGTGGTTTCCGGCATCCAGGCAGAATTCGAAGCAGCTATTGCTCCTGGCTAGCTAGCGTTGAACTTGCCGTTACTTCCTTGAGCACAGGAGAACAGGCAGATACGATGGCTGACCTAGCTAGTAGAGACAATAGCTACAAGGGGTACCAGAGCCATCACAGGTAAAGTCGACACGTGCATACAGGTATTGCAATGTTGCAACAGTTCTTCAATCTTCATGAAAGCTATTGGCTGGCAGTTTGTAGTTGGCTTGGAGGGGCAAATTTGCAGGTGGGGTTCTTGCCATGCTCCTCCACCACCACTGGTATGGTCACAGCTGACAAACATGCGTTGCTTTCATGGCGGCTACAGCTCTTACAACAACTAATCAAGTAAAATCCCACCATAGCCCAACAATCCCAAGCAAAGTTATGACATGGACATCGGCAGTCCACGAGTGTTCGTTAGGGTCAGAGTTCTTAGGTGCAAGAGTGCGACATCGTCAAGCCTTCAAGAAGGACCCAGCGAGGGTTACCTTGTGCTTGTGCTTCCGCTTGTTTATGTTTTGCTTTCTACCCTTCGTTGGGTGGATTTAAGCTTCTGGCCACCCATGGTCGCCCAACTTGCAACACGTAGGTTTTTCAAAAAAGCAGAAGTTATGACTTTGGAGATATTTGTGCTGATGTGTTATAAAGTTTTTCTGTAATTTTAGTGAAATAGATTCAAAATGTCATTTTCTGGCAAGCCATCCACGCGTTCGCTGGCGTCCGAACTGTCTCTGGTCGGCGGTGTTCGGAGCTCGAGCTCCAACAGCAGCGAATTGGTCATCACCAACATCAAAGGTGCTTATTGCACTCTTTCCTTTGAAACTAACCTCCCCTTTCCCTCACATTGTTTCGATTTTGCATTCAGTCCAAGTAGTAATAGTCGTACCCAGCATAGCATGCCGAAAGACGAAGGACCTAATCCGGACCAGCCGGTCCATCAGGGCAAGTGGACCCCGGAAGAAGAGGCGTATGTGGAAGCCTTGGTGGAAGAGTTCAAGTTGGGTCTACTCCCACTCGCCGAGGGGACCAGTCTTCGTACCTTTCTCTCCAAGATGTTGAACTGTCAGCCAATGCGTATCAGCAAGAAGTTTGTAGGATCCAACTACAATGGCAAGCAAGTGTATGTGAGGAGGAAGAACAGCCTTTCCAATGAGGAAGTGAGGTCTCGTCGTGCCAAATTGCAGGAACTGGAACGGAAATTCCTCGCCAAAGCCAGCCCCATGTCGGCCATGGCATCCTCCGAGAATAATAATAATATCCCTGGTGGTGGTGGTGATGCAGTGCCACCGCCTGCTGCTGCTGGAATGATGCCAGAGGCAGCGGGTCTTATGGGGTCGACCAGTGCGGGCTTGCTGTCCGCTGCCACTGGTGGAGCTGCTGGTCTTCCCGGTGGTCTCGATGCGGCGGCACTGTTTGGGGGTCGCTCCAACAGCAAGGCGGCGGCTGCGGGACGGGCTCTTCTGTTGGGAGGGTCTGGTGGTGGTGGTCTCAAGGCTCCACCCGCGGCAACAGGAGGTCTCATGGCGTCTGCCAGTGGCGAAAACCTGGGAGGATTTAGTACGGCCCAATTGGCGGCCGAATTGGAGAAACGAGCCCAGTCCGAATTGCAATCTCGCACCAGTGTGGAAAATTTCTTGGGGTCTGCTGCCGAACTCCAGGCACGAGCCAGTGCGGAAACTCTCTTGCAGAATCCGTTTGGAGGAACCAACAGCCAGTCGGGATCGCGCAGCAATATATTTGGTGCCGGTTCTCGCAACAATTTATTGAATGCGGCGGGATCGAGGAGCAATCTGCTCAATGCGGCCCGAAATTCGTTCCATCGAGGAGGAGGAACTTCCGCTTCCAATTTGTTGAATGCGGCTCTACAAAAGAATTCGACCAGCAATTTGCTCAATGCGGCCCGGAATTCCTTTCATAAGAATTCCACCAGCAATTTACTGAGCTCTGCATTTGGTAGAGGGGGCGCATCTGCCAGTAACTTGCTCCAGAATGCGTCCTTTGCCAAGAAAATGTCGACCAGCAACTTGTTGAATGCCATGGCCAGCAGTGGAGGACTGGCCGGTTTGCGAGCCAAAAATTCCACCAGCAATTTGTTGAATGCCGCCAGGGCTGCGGGTCGGAGTGGTGGTGGAGGATCATCGTCTGCGGCAGCGGCAGGATTAAGGTCTCTCCTGGCATCCCGTGCATCGGCGGGCGATGCCGCCGAAGGTCTTAAATCGGGTAGTTCTCTCGCGGACCTCCTAAAACGCCATGGCAGTGGCGTGGATCTCATGAGTGGTGCATCTGCTGGTGGGAACTGGACTCGGACCGGATCTGGAATTGGACTGGCTGGTGCTGCTGGAGGATCGCGTTCGAACCTATCTAGCCTGAGGTTGAGGGAAATGTTGAAAAATGGAGGAGACCCTGGTGCGGCTGCATCCACCTCTTCCGTCTTTTCCAATGCTTCCTTTGGTGGTGCCAAGTCTTCCAGTAGTCGCTTGGAATTGGCGGCATTGCTGCAGAAGAAGGGATTGTCATCAGCTGCAGCGTTGGCGGCTGTGGCCGGTGATGAAGAAGCCTCTGCCAAGAAAGCGGCTGCTGCTGCCTTGCTGGATAAGGAAGCACTAGTCGCAGAATTGGCCGAAAAGGAAGCCATGATTCAGCAATTGAGGCGTACTGGTTCTGCTTCAGGATTTGACAATGCTGCAGGGAACAGTGCAATCGAGGAATACCTGCTGAAGCAAAAGCTGGCGGGAGGATCAGGAGCAGCTGATGGAGCGGCTGCGTCTGTCTCGGCCGCGGAGACACCTGATCAAGCAGAGTTTAGGCACATGTTGGAATTGAAGAGGAAGTTTCTTTCCCAGGATGCTGTGGCAGATGCAGAGCGTGCCGCGAAGCGCCGTCGAGATCCAGATGGCATTTAAACGAGCCAAGTGATGACACACGGCGTCGAGTGAGGTGAAGACATTACACATACATAGTGAGTCAAATGAAAAATGACAACCGGACGGCACCAGGAACGGAGAAGACGGCAGCGGGGCAGAAGTATTCATATTAATAAAAACACTCTTGAGTTAGGATGAAGCGAATGCAAATAGGTGTGGGAGGCTGTCAGTCGAAGACTGAACCACTCGTTGTCTCCTGCATCTCATGTCGCTTTCTACACCGCAACTATGTAGGAAACGGTATCGTGCACTTGTGTTGCAACTGATCGATGGATGGTACGGGAATGCCTGACACTCCCGTACGACTCTCGTCGCATCAGCATATTATGTTGCTCAACAGCCAACTTCACATACACAGACTCAGCCATGCACGGTATCCATCAGGTTCGCCCCAAAACGGTGGGTTCTTCTATCCAGTTGTGGAAGGCCTTGCTGGTGCCAATCTCCGAGCCGTACCAGGACCAAAGCCGGAATGAGCCTCGTCTATCCGAAACCCATCAAACTCCCAATCTTTTACGTTCTGGTATGGTACTGGAGCTTCTTCAATTGAACCTGGGGAGGTACGTGATGGTTTCCCCCCGACCTCTCACTTCATCCAGACTCTTTTTGCCCAGTACTGCCTGCAGTGTAGAAGCCAGTACCGTACCGTACCGTACCGGTAGGCGCTTGCTTCCTTCGCAGATTTGCCGGTGCAGGCTACGGTAGTAATCATTCACAACTCATTTCCCGGCTACTGGTTGCCCCTGCTCAAATGACAAGAAGAGGAACACGGTTGCTTCCTTTGCAGGCTGATATTCATTCACAACTCATTACGGTTACCACTGCTCCCAAGGATGCACCAAACACTCCTCTTCGTCCAAATAGTTATCACTTGTGAGGAACCAGCTATTACCCAGACCTATACATGAAAATGGAAACCTAGCTAGCTGGTACCATAGTGCGGACCCAGTGCTTCCGGTCTCCTAGCTATTTAAGCCAGCGGAGCTGTGTAACCTCGGCAGAAAGGTTTCAGTGCAGAAGCAGATACCCTAGCTAACTAGAAGCAGACACCTCTAGTGCTTACCGGTAGCTAGTGCTTAACTTGTGCTTAGCTAGCTAGAAGCAAATCCCCCCTAGCTAGAAGCAGATTCACATAGCAAGCTAGAAGCAGACACCCCTAGCTAGCTAGAATACTAGTTATATAGCTTTCGCTGGCTTTAGAGTTTTTCCTGGTAGAAGCAGATCCCCCTACTAGGATGGATGTAAATTGCTTTAGCTGGTTTGCACCATGCTAGCTAGGATACTTACTTAGTTTTTGCTGACTTATTTGTATTCTAACCCTACCCTTATACCTGCAGGGACCACCGTAGCAGGAAAAACAATTAAAGGGGTTGAGGGCTCTGGCAGCAAGACTGCCGAGGTTTAGAGTACTAGTTCCGTCCATTTCCCTAAAAAAACCTTTTTAGCCTTATCCCTATTGGATCGGTATACTCATTTTTGTGGCGCCCACCATCCTCAAGCCAAAAGCTAAAGCAACAGCCAAAAGTCGACCTCCATGCTCCAGGAGCGTGGGTATACATAGCAGACAACAACCATGTACGGCGGCTTGTTTGGTGATCTTCCTGCAGCCAAGAACAAGAAGGAGACCGACGAAGACAAGGATTCGACGGTAGTAGCCGTGAAAAAGGCAGAGGCACCAGCGACAGCTGTTTCCGATCCCAACCACAAAAAGAAGGATGCTCCAAAATCGGTCGCTCAAGACATTGGTGCGGCAGGAACGGCAGTGGCCTTTGTCCCCACGCACATTGGCAGGAAACGGATTGCGCCAGTCGTGATCAAGAAAAAGGTAGCTCCATCGTCTCTTCGTCCCGCCGTCGTGGATTCATCAAGAGATGGCCACAAGGTGGAGCCGCTACAACCATCACACCAGCAAGAGGTATCACAACCACACCACTCAGGAGTACATGTAGTAGTAGCACAAGAACCAGAAGAAATTCGCCGGTTGCACGAAAATGTGACGGATCCGTACGATCCTTACGTCCCCAACGATTTGTTACAGTATTGGGAACGCAAGGCAGCGGAACGGGAACGTCAAGAAATGGAGCGTGAAGCAATGGAAACCATGGAACGACAACGAGCCATGCAGCAACAAATTGACGCCGAACGCAAAGAAATGCTAGCATCGGGAAATACCAGTGCCATGGTTCAACAGCAGCAACAATTGATGGGACGTGGCAGAGGAAGAGGAGGGGTATCCAATCTGCCAGCGTGGTTGGTCAAAAAGCAAGAGGAAGAATCCAAACGAAAAAGTGAGGGTGGTGTCTAACTATTTAGTCTATACAATAGCAAGTGTGGAGGAACGGAATTTTGGCATAGATGATTTTTTCAGGAAGAATGGCAGCATGACTGCTGGGTCTAGATAGAGTAATCAAGTGCTGGATACGGCCAAAATGTCAAATTACAGCCGGTTGTGCACGCAGCAACAAGTTGTGTTGCCTTTGGTCATCCGAAGCCAATGTACATTTTTGCTATCATTCTAGAGAATAGGAGATCTCTCATTCGGCCCAAAGTACTCGTAATATAACTCCTTTGAGATAGATGGTGCCAGAAATGCACCAGGTGTAACCAAGTCAACCAGAATCCCTCCGAACGCCGACAGCCAGTTGTGACTGGGACCAGGACGGATGGCTAGCCATGGCATTATTCAATGGGATGCCCTCCCAAGAGCTACAACTCGATCAGCGAGACCTTCCACTATGTGTAATAGCAAATCCCAATCCATCATAATAAAAATGAGGGATACTATCAGCCTTCCCAAGGCAACAGTCCCAAACTGATTGGCACACGAGAAATCTATTTGCAAAGCAATCATTTGTCCATCGTCCAACGAAACCAAGATGGATAGCCGCCTTGGGTGGCATCTAGCTAGCTACGGTAGTAGCTAGCTATGCTACATGACTTGTCCGTACCAGTAGCTTGGGCCAACAGCACTCAGGTGGTTGGAAGACACTACAACATGTCTAGCTAGTAGTCTAGTAGCACCGACATGTTCCATGTTCTACTACAAAGTTTCTATGGTACCGGTTTGACCAGTGGTCTCTCCCACAGTCTTTCATTAGTCGCGTAAGAAAATCCCATGACTGATTACTAAATCCCCCATTCATTTCCACGATCGATGCTTTAAAAAGCTTCCCTCCAAGGTCATTCACAAGCGTCTTTATGGGTCACCACTACTTAAGCCTCTGACGCGGTTCCTCATTCTCAACCACTTTCAAACTTCCAACAACCAGCAACATTCCAACCAACATCATTTCTTGTCATCATTTCTTCTTCTTCTTTGGTTGCTGTGGTTGTCTCCATCCTTGACTCCAACTACTAGCTAGTACTCCAACCATGACAACAACAACACCAACAACAACAACATTTGAAACGAAAGTGTACGATGTCACGTACAAGGGGGAACCGGGTCGACTGACATTGGCCAACAAGTTTTTCCACTATGAAGCCAACTTTATCGAAGCGACGATCAAATGCAGTTGGGCCCGTGTAGACCGGCGTCAATTGTCTCCTCCCGGAGCGGATAACTACTTGATCAAGCTAGTACTGGCATCTGGGAAAACGGCTGTTTTTGAAGTGGAAACATTGCCCATTTTGTTAAAGTTAGTCAAAGATGTCAAGGCACGCATGGAAGCCAACAAGCCCAAAGAAGACAGTGAAGAGCAAGCAAAAAAGCCCGAAGCATTCCAAGACGAAGAGGAGACGAAACGACAAAAGAAAAAGAATCGGTTTTCCGTCAATACCGAGTACATTTCCATGAAAGACTTGAGCAAAGATCCCAGTACCGAGAACTCTACGGAAGGTCCCGACAATAATGATGTTGAACAGGGCAAGCAACCAGACGACAAGGACAATAAGGACAATAAGGACAAAATGAAGGACGCGAGTCATCGACGATCCCAACTACGCCGTTCCAATCGCGCCAATAGTCGCCGTCGAAACTCTTCCAAAGGACCGCACCCACCCGTCCTCGCAGGACAAGACCCCTATTTGAGTCAAGCCCACGACAAACGCGACGATTCACGACGGACCATTTGCTACTGTCCCTGGGATTCCGTTTGGTGTTGGATGTGTCTGTGTGTGTTTCTCGCGTTGGTCGTCACCATTATTGTACTCGTGGTCCTCTTTGTCATTCCGAATGACAATAACAATAACAACAATCCGTGGATCCGCAACTATCAACCCAAACAAGGACCCCTCTGTAAAGACGTCACGGACGATTTGTCCAAGTGTCCTCCTGACGATGGTATGGAATATCGCTATGGCATTCGATCGGTCGAATACAATTGGGGACCCGACAATGTGCGGTTGGAATATGCCATTAGCGATTATATACTCGATACGAGTATGGACTTTTTCGTCATGGACGGCGTCAATTGTCGCGGCAGTGACGATAAAAATGTCCCGAAAGAAACGCCATGGTTAAAATTTCAACTCGTCGATGGCGCACCGGAAGATGGCGGGCCCAATGTCTACAATGAAGGACGAGGGACACGACAATTTGATATTGATATTGATTTGCTGGCGTCCAGCAATCAACTCGCCACGGCACCCTTTTATTTTCCCAATACGGCAGGAGACAACAAGGCGTTTTTACGATTGTGTGTCAATTTTCAAGTCTTTTACAATCGATTAGAGGGATTTACAGAACGAAAAGAGGTATGTAATATCAACCGAAACAGCAGCAAGGTGGTTTGTCAACAAGTTCACGGATCTTACAATCAATCATTGCATTTCCTCGTCTCGTTGCTGCAGGTCAACTACATTGAAAATGCTCTCGAGTTGAACATGGACGTTTCCAATCCCCTTCCCGTCATTACAGACGTACTCGTCAAAACTGTCACTAGGCCATCCTATTAGTTAGATCGATGCAACAACAACAATAAGAAGACGAGTTCAGGGGCTACTAGCTAGAGACTAGAGACACGCCGTCTCTGCGCAAGGTTTTTGGAATTGGCGCACCGCTGCCGCAAATTCAGAAAGGAGCATCCAGGCTTTTGCCACCGAAACCTTCGTTGACGCCACCAATGCTTGGTTCGCCGGCCGCCCATCAACCTGTCAGATTCGATTCCCCCGTTCTGTTTCCTCCAGCTAGACGCGGGGCTTGCAAGCGAGTGATCATGAGCGAAACCCATCACCGGAATCGGTGCTCGTGAAGCTTGCTCTCTCCGAGAACGCGGGAGAGAGCATTTCTTCCAAATCAATAAATGAAACAGGGCTCCACCCGGAGCAATACCGGGACGACTGTGCGGGTACAGACAACTCAGATGAGCCAAGTATGGGTATACACGACAGCAAGACTTGACAGTACAACCGATCCGGCGAACAGAAAGTCGCTCGCTACGGCCAGCTGTCATACTCACTATAGGCCTGTCTAGTATTAGGACTTGTTGCTTCAGCTTAGCTACACCCTCACAGCGGCATCGTAGCATGAGGCAGTTGCACTGCAATTCGTTCTACTGCTTGGTACAATCATCCGTACCTCGTACACAACACCAGTTACAGCAAGAGCATTGGTGTGGAGGTACTGTGTCGTCGTTGGAGCTCACGGCACAGTCGGCATTGAAATAGCGCAAAAAACCTCGGCTAGAAGTGGAAGAACGAAGCGAGCACACTTCGTCGGGGACACTACCCGAAAACAAATTGGCATTCAAATACAACAAGGACAAGGAGTTGGTCAACCGTGCCAACTCGGTCGGGACCACACCGGTCATTTCATTATGATCCAATGCCAATATTTGGAGTTGTTGGAGATTTCCCACCAGCGAGCTCAGTGTCCCCGAAATGCGATTGCGACTCAACTCGACGCGAGACAGATGTGAGGATGGAAAATTGTTGTAGAATCCATCTGGCAGGGATCCATTCAAGGTGTTTTCCTCCAATCGAAGCTCCCGCAATTGCGGTGCTGCACCCAATTCGGCCACGACCGATCCCGACAAGGCATTGTTTTGGAGGTACAGTTCGGTCAAGGCATTCATTTGACCCAGGGTCGTGGGCAGATGTCCCGTCAGTCCATTGGATTCCAGTCGCAAACTGGTGAGACGACTGAGTGAGGCAATGCTTTCGGGCAAACGCCCCGTCCACTGATTGTGGGATAGCCAGAGCGTGGTCAACTCGGGCCATGCCAAGTATTCTTCGTTCGAGAGGAAGTTTCCCGTCAGATTGCCAAAGGTCAATTTCAACGTATCCAGACGCGACAGCTTGGCCCAAGCGGTGGGAATGTCTCACTGCAACTCATTGCCCATGGCGGAAAACACCATGAGTTGCGTCAATTCGCCCACTTCCGGCGGAAGCCTTCCCACCAGACCCGGACCGGGAATGTCGATAAACGCAAAGGAGTAAATGAGACCATTTTGACTATCGCAAGTCACAAAGGCCCAGTCGCATTCGTCGTGGTCGTGGCTCAACCAATTCGAACGTTGTGTCCAACCTGGGCCATTCAAGGAGTAGTAGAGGATGACCAAAACGTAGCGCTGAATGAATTTGGACATTTCGTTTTGGTTTATAATTGGTAGTGTTGTTGTTTTGGCCCATGTCGTTGACTGTGCGTCGTCCTCGTCCATGTCCATGAGGAGTTCGTAGGCCAAAAAGAGAGCTGCCTGGAATTGAGGCGATGCCGGGTCTCGGAACGGTTCTTCGCCAGAAACGGGGACGAACAAGGGCAAGAGCGAATCAGTAATGAACTGAGTCACTTGAACATTGATGGATGGGAGTTGTGAGGAAGAGGGGGCTTGCGAAAAAGAGGGGAATTGTGAAGGAGTTGTGGTTGTGGTAGGGCGGGTGGTAGGACTCTCTGTTGTCTTTGTTGTCGCCCTGGTGTTATTAGTCTGCAGATCATCTTTGCCGTTGCGTGTTGGTGAAACTTGGAGATTCTCAGGAAATGTTGGCGTCATTGAAGGTCTTGTCGCCGGTGCCTGTAGTAGTAGACTAGGAGAGGGCGTGACGGAATCATTGCCTTCAACTTGATGATTGCCACTTGTTTCTTCTTGGGCTCTCTGTGAAACAGCAACTGATACGGACACCGCCACCACCACTATGGCTACTACGACTGAAGAAGCAATCACAATAAGGAGGCGTCGGCTGAGAGTCAAGGCCATGGTCAAATCGATGGCTGAGGGAGAAGCACGGCATGGCCAATGCGTCGAAATGGCGAAATGGGCAATGGTCGATGCGTTGAAATGCCAGCAGAGCTGTTTGCTTTTGCTTGGAGGAAGAAGATGGAGGCCGGTACAGTATCGTACGTAATACCGGACCCTTGCTATCTCACGACGAGGAGTTGCATTCACCGAAGTCAACAATGACGACTAACTATGGAAGATAAATGAGTCGAGTCAGCACGGCAGGTGATGCAACTGCTTTTCTCAACAACCCTCTAGCTAGAATATTCTGGCTCGATCGTTACTAACAAGGACAGTCACAGCCACAAAGCAAATCTGTGCAGTCAAAAGATGTTCCAAGGGCTCCCACACAATCTTCAAAGAAGCTGATGGATACGCACACACCATCCACAATACAGAGTGATTCTGGTATCACACCAGAGAGCAAAGGGTTTCCCTCAACTTGGAGAGTATAGAGGGACGGCTGAAGGGAAGCCAACTCCTGTGGCATAGTTCCGCTAAGAAAATTGTTTGCAACAGAAAGCCAGCCAAGGGATGTCAAGAATCCAAACTCCGAAGGGATTCCACCGGTCAAGTCATTTTCTCCGAGGCCAAGAGTTTCCAAGTTCGACAGGTTAGAGAGCTCACTGGGAATTGTACCGGAAAGTTGGTTTGACTCCAGTCCCAGAGAACACAGTGACAGCAGGCCCAGCTCAGTTGGAATCGTACCGGTAAGTGCACCCCATCTGAAATCCACAATGAAAGATGATGCTAGCAGGCCAAGCTCAGTGGGCAGAGTCCCTTGCAGTTGATTGCCTCCTAGCGACAAGATCCCAAGTTTTGAAAGGGATCCGAGCTCGCTTGGGATCTTTCCGGAAAGGTTGTTTTTCACAAAAACCAACCACTCCAAGGATTTGGCTTGGCCAACTTCTGTGGGCATTGTCCCTTGATCAAGGCGATGACAGAGAATAGAAAAGAAAGAACAAGGAAGTCAGAGGTCAACTGGAATCCCTGAGCCTTGGAAGAGACATACCAGAGAAATCACAATCGTCCATAACTATCCACCTCAGCTTTGGTAAAGTGCCAATGATTGAGGGGATTGTGCCTCACAACCTCTCATTTCGGCCAAGCGCAAGACTATCAAGATTGCCAAGTTGCCAGATTTCATGAGGGAGAAATCCTTCCAAGTTGTTATCGTATAGAGCAATGATTTCCAAAAGTGATAAATCACCCATTTCCTTTGGTAGAGACCCCGACAGCCCAGCGGAGAAAACGGCAAGCCCCTGTAACTGGCTTAGCTTCCCAATATGGCTGGAAATCGTGTTGCGAAGAGAATTCAGACCAAAAGAGAGCGCTTGGAGGGAAGTTAAACTATAAAGTTCCTCCGGCAGAGGACCCTCAAGGTCGTTCTGATCCAGCCACAAATGAAGATAGCGCCCTTGCTTGTCACATTGGCTGTCAGGTAGAGGCTCCAAGAAGCCTGATAGGAAGCCAGGGTATATCTCTTGTAGAGTTGTCTTCATGGCAAATTCTTGTTTTTGAAACCATACACATTCATGTAGATTGTGGTTTCCCCACCCTGTGTTGTTGAACCACTGTGTGGGACCGGCAGTGGCATAGAATACGGTCATTACAGCATGCCTCTGGACAATCCTCCACTCTGGGTATTCGTAGACAGATGGATCCTTCAGAAGCCAATCAAAGGCTTTGTATTGTGCCGAATTCCTGTCTTCCATTGCCTTGATTGTGTGGTCTGGGAGCAAGGACAAAAGGAACGATTCCAGTGAGGTTGGGCCCAAAGTTGGTGCTGCTGTTGGTGCAGTTGGTGTAGCATGTATGGTCACTTCGGGCTTTGGTCTCAGTCCAACTCCTAGACTGACGGCAATGATAAAAGTTGCGCAAAAAATGATAGCATAGCCTACTCTTCGGCAATGTCTCTCCTTTTTCTCTCTGTCACATTGATGTTCCAATACTTCATCATCAACTTGCTTGGCTTCATATGAACATGCTGGATTCAGTAATGGCCCTAGCTTCAACCAGTCCTTGGTCACTGGTGGCATTTTGAATTTGGAGAGTATCGGGGGTTGGTGGAAGAACAACCTCAGGATCATTTTCCGCAGAATGTTGGTTGTCGCTGCGGCATCAGTTCCAACAAGCCCAAAATCAAGTTCGGATACACGCCGCATGTTTTCGCCCATGTAGGCTCCAGGTCGGCTTGGCTGGTTGTTGATCCTGCCTTGATGTGCCACTGAAGGTGAGGTGGGGATTGGCGCAATTCCACCCACTAAATCCTCCATTAAAGCTTGGCGATTGGAAGTTGCATTTTCTGGTTGGTTGGGGTCACGGAAAATTTCTTGAGAAGTATCGTTCTCCTGTGTGCCAGTAGTATTATTGTCATGGGCAGAATTGTTCCTTTGAGGAGGAACAATTGCCCCACATTTAGTTATTGTGACATCTGTAGACTCTCGTAATGGATCAGCTTCTTTTCTTTGCTTGCCAAGCCCACGAGGCAATGACGCAGAAGAACGAGCACCAGTTGTGGCGCTAGAGGTAGCACTTGCAGCCACATGATATACTCCATGTTGAATAGGAGCAACCACCGTGGCATTCTTGCTGGTGATGGGTTCAGGGTTGAGATTGCCTCCAAGAGGAACGGTGGCAGAGGCCCCAGTTGTGGAATTCCCAGCACTGCCTCGAGCAGCAGCCTTGGCTGCCCTTTCTTCAGCAGATCTCCTGAGACCACGACTTACTGTTGTTGTAGGTGCAGGCTTGGTCCTGGCGTCGCTCGATGTACTGGCCTCCTTGGCGTCCTTTTGCTGTTGTTGACTCCTCCGCAAGACCGCTCCGGGAATGCTTGTATTGATGTTATTACTAGCCATGTTGGCATTTGCTGCATTTTCTTGGGGAAATCGTCTTGGGCCACTGTTCAAACTTGCAGTAGGCAAAGTCAATGCAGCAGGGACAGGCGTGGAACTCCCAGGACTGAATGGATTCAACCCAGTCGTTTTAAAAGGAATTTCCTGTGGCCCACGGACGGGTTGCCCCATGGCACCATTGCTGGTACTGGTATTTGTATCACCACGAGAAGTAGTAGGTGTGGTGGAAATAGCGTCGTCCATAGGAACTCCAGCACTTTGAGTGATGGTTCTAGTGGATGTGACAGTTCCATAGTCTACCTCGTTGGGCGAAGTACACGCCTCTGTGCCCTCGTCTGTGTCAAGATTGGCTGCGTCGGTGGCCTCGTCGGTACTAGTAGTAGCCTCTTCGGTAGCCTCGTCGGTAGCCTGATCTTGAGCGGATTTCTTTTGGTCGTTCATGGCTCGGCAATAGCGGTCAATACTGCCGTTGGTTGTTGCTTGGTTGGCGATGGGGGTATGCAATGTCGCTCTTTGTTGATCTGAGAAAATAGCATGTCTTGGTCTCAAGAATGTTGCTTCTGTTGTTTGCGGTGATGGTTCATTTTTGATCCTCGCGACAGCGTTCCTTTTGGGGTCCGCGTGTACGGTATGGAGCTGCATATGGTATACTGGTAGGCTGCTGTCTACGTAGTTTGCGATTGGAGCTGTGTGAGTACATACCGTACTGTACCACATGTCATACGTTTTTCGTACCAGGTACTGTACCATTTCACGCCATACCAGTTACGGACTACCTAGTTACAGTCGTAGCTAGCTAGCTAGCTAGCTAGCTAGCTAGCTAGCTAGAGCTAGAGACTGTGATAAGGAGGTACAGTACCACCCGGTCTGTCCGTTTTTTTAGTCATGAGTTGGTTGAAACCCAAAATTACTCGAGAAAATCGCGAAACAACAAAACAACAAACGATTTCGATTGCTGCTGTTGGACTGGCTAGTGCTCTTGTCCTACTCAATTCTGACAGTAGCTACATTCAGTTAAATCTTCGAAAAGTAGTTGTTAAGAAGGAGTGACTTGGCTGGACAGTTGCAGGGGCTCCGGTCGATAGGTTCTCAGTAGCAGCAGACTTAGCGGTCGATTTTCGGCAGTTTTCAGAGTTAACACTGAACCAACAGTCTAAGCCCCAGCGACTGTCAACGACGGGACTCTTGTTTGTTATATTACAAGTACTCTTTGTATTGGTCAAAGCCTTAACAGAGGTCTTTATTCTACTCAACTAATCAGTCCAATTCAGCGATCGAAGTCGGTTTTTTGTTGTTGTTGTCGCGATTTTACTGGTTAATCCCAACTCATGACTAAAAGAGGGTGGTACCTCCTTAACCCGTACTAGTAGAGCCGACAATTAAAAGCACCAAGACCACCCCAATTGGGTCTTTGGCAACTCGATTGGCTGTGCCAGTTCAAGTTGACGCCTTTCCCCATGGTACTAGAGAAAGAAAAACAAACACTAAAGAGATCCGTTAAGGAGCGAGGGGGGCTAAGCTAGGCAGAGCAGTGGCTGCGGTGGTGGGTGGCTGTGGTGGTGGGCGTACGGGGAGAGCAATGAGGACGGGAGCAGGGTAAGGGGGGGTCAGGGGAGGGGGTGCATGGAGGAAAACGAGGAAGGAGAAGGGAGCAAAATTAGCGGAAGAGTGCAAGTGCACCGTCGGCATCCCAGAGAGAACGACGGTAGCTCATTGTGCCAGCAGGACACGAGAGCCACGCATGCAGAGGTGGCGGGCCCGAAGAATAGCTAGGCTGAGCCGAGCATTAACGTAGCCACGCACCACTGAGTCAGGGCGTTCCCACTTTGCAGCGAGCAAAGCGGAAATACGTTTGGCGAGTGCCTCAGCTTCGGCCCCAAGGAGACCATCAGCAGAGACAACAAACGGAGTAAAGTGGCGGCGTTGGGAAAGACAGGCGTCGAGATACTTGCATTTCTTGTCGCGTTCGCCATTGCGAAGGACCTTGTCAGGATCCTTGCGACAGTGAGAAGCAGCATCAAGATTGATGACACGAACATCAATTATGCCGTCAGTTCTGCGTTGCCAGAGGCCACGGATAAGGAGATCACCTCATTCCTCGGATGGGGTGAGAACTACAGGAGAGTCGCTGGAAGGCGAAGCATTCGTAGCTGCAGAGCGAGTAAGTTGGATACGGGGTTCGTCGCAACTGCAGATGGGATGAATGCCTTGGCAGCGAGATCACCGAGTTCATCACGTACCAGTACGCACATCGAGGGCATCCACCGTGCCACACCGCTGGGTGTCCAAACCAGTGAATCCATGTACTGGAGACAAATGATGCTTTGGCACTTTGGTCTTTGGTCCATGCCCAAGATACCAGGTAGCGTATACTGTATCAACTCAAAACTCTATCATAGATGAGCACCATTGCGTCGGTTGAAATGACTGATTGTCTCAACAAACCCCAATAATCTTACTAGCTAGTAGTTACAAGAGCAGTCACAACCACACAACAACTCTGTGCAGTCAAAGAACACACCTATGTGCTCTGGACATGAGTCAAAGCCATTACTAGTACAGGTGCCATTGACAGCACAAAGAGACTCTGGCATCATACCAGAGAGTGCAGAGTTCCTCTCAATTTGAAAGTAGTATAAGGATGCATGCAGGGCAGCCAGCTCAGTAGGTACAGTCCCACTAAGGAGATTGTTGTCCATGGTCAGCAAACCCAGAGATGTCAGAAGCCCAAACTCGGAAGGGATTTCTCCAGTGAAGCGGTTGCTGCCCAGAGTGAAATACTCCAGCTTGGAAAGGCCTGGGAGTAAACTGGGAATTGTACCAGAAAACTGATTTGAGTCAAGTTCCAGTTCCAGAATCCGCAGAAAACCCAGCTCAGAAGGGAGTGTGCCTGTGAAGAAATTGTGGCTCAGGGTCACACGGTTGGCTGAAGTAAGAAGACCAAGTTGACTAGGCAGAGTTCCCTGGAGAAGATTTTCCAACACGGAAAAAATCCGAAGCTTTGATAGGGATCCAATCTCACTTGGGAGCATGCCGGACAATTGAGATCTCGACAAAAGAAGAAACTCTAGGGATTTGGCTTGGCCAAGCTCTGTAGGAATGGTACCTAAAAGAAGATAGATAATGGACAAAGGCATGTGAGCAGTCAACCCAAAAAGCTAGGATCAACACGTGTTTTGATTGAGACTGACCAGAGTTTCCACAGTCTTCTAGTACTAGCCACCTCAGCTTTGAGAAAGTGCCAACAATGGATGGTATTTTGCCTCCATGTAGCTTCTTGTTGCGGCCAATTGCAAGGGTATCTAGGTTGCTAAGTTGCCAGATTTCATCTGGAATTGATCCTTCCAGTTTGTTGTCATTAAAGCCAATATAATGCAATGCTGACATAGAACCAATTTCTTTTGGTATTGATCCAGAAAGATCTGTCGATAACATGGCAATCCCCTGCAACTGACTTAGCTTCCCAATTCTGCTAGACAATGAGCCAAAAAGATGATTGTAACTGGTTGAAAGCGTTTGGAGTGAGGTCAAGCTGTAAAGTTCCTCGGGTAGAGAACCTACAAGATTGTTCTGATCCAGCCACAGATGCTGGTAGAGCCCTTCCTTGTCACATTGGCTCTCTGGTAGTGGCTCCAAAAAGCCTGTTAGGAAACCGGGGTACAACATTCGTATGAATGACTTGAGAGCAAATTCTTGATTCTGAAACCATAGACATTCATGTAGATCGTAGCTTCCCCATCCTGTGCTGTTGAACCATTGTGTTGGGCCTGCAGTTGAATAAAAGATGGTCATCAGAGCATGCCTTTGAAGAATCCGCCTCTTTGGGTAGTCATAGACGAAGGGATCCTCTAGAAGCCATTGAAACGCGCGGTACTGTGCTGAATCCTTGTCTTCTACAGCCCTGGCAGTGAGGTCTGGGAACAAGGACGATATGAGTGATTCCAGTGAGGTTGGGGCCATTGATGGAAGTACAGTTGTGTAGTTAGTTGAATCCAATTGAACTGTCTCTCCAGGAAGCAAAACAATCAAAAGCACAATCCCTCCTATGAATGCAAGCCCCGCAAACGTGCTAATGGCAACCAAAGGATTTTCCTTTTGTTCTCCTGCGGTGCTACTTGTTCCCGATGGTCTGGCCTGAGGAAGACTGTGGGGGTCCACCTCCTCAACAGACCTAGCAATTGCTAGCACTGTTTGTCCGGAGGAGTGAATCCTTCTGTGGTCATGGTTGCCATCCCAATCAAACCCATCCAGGTTGTTCGCATTTGCTTCCTCTGCTGTCCTGAAACTGCCATGTTGAAATGCGTATGCACCGGGTGTCAATTCCTGTGCTGCAGCAATGCTTCGTGGCATTGAGAAACTATCGTTGGGCTGTTGTCCTTCCAGTGTTTGCCAGTTGTGTGGGGTGTCATCTAAGCCGGCTTCCTTGGCAACAAGTGATGTAGAATCGATGATGTTGTTGTTGGTTTCACCGTCATTTTGAATTCCTGGCATTTTGCCGTCTTCTGCCTCCGGTATTGCGGTGATTTTCATGTTGCCTGTTGGTTTTGTGTGTTCATTTTCTTCCTTTGGGAGGAACGATAATACCAGCTGACTACCATTTCGTTGGGTGTCACTAAACCCAGATGACATGTTTGGATTATGGGGTTCCTCACCATGGATATCTCTGTCATCATCAGCAGTAACTTCAGCACTAACAGTATTGGTTCTAGTGGATGTGGTAGTTCCATTGGACTCCATGTCGCCCGAAGTACACGCCTCGGTTCCCTCATCCCCTATCATAGCCAGATTGGCTGTGTCAGTAGCTTCGGTAGCCTCATCTTGAGCCGATTTCGTTTCGTCGTTCATGGCTGGGGAATAATGGTTGACACTGCAGTCAATCGTTGTGAAGTACTTTATGGAACTAGAGCTTTCTAAAGATTGATGTAGCGTCCCTTTGCAATAGTACAGTACGGTACGAGCATTGGATTGGATCTTGATGAATCCGCCTCACATTTTTTCCTGGGTCTGGAAGACAGAATTGCATGGGTAGAGAGAGTAATTGTAAGGTCATTGTAATTTGAATACAAATGTTGTTTTACCTCATCTACTATTTTAACAAAAACGTCTTCCTGGCCCATCGCCGGCTTCCTTACTATGGTTCAGGAACCAGTACCGGAACAGTGTACTGGTCGATAACTTCCCGACAGCAGAGAACCCAATAGTTGGCGCGGTAAGTCCAAGGCGTACAGTACCAGTGTTTTTGGTGGAGCTCTTGCTGTACGTTGGTGGGTGTTGAATTGGGGATCTGCCATGGTGCTTTGTAGTGGCTTCTGCGGCATCCTAGTACTGGGACGACGAAAAAGTTGATGGTTTCTGTTACATGAAGAGGGTGCGGTTTTGGAAGCGTCGAGGCAACATACAAGCAGTATCTGATCGATTGGTATTTGGATGACACCGAAAAGATGGCGTACAGGATTCCTAGAAAGGCTGTACATTCGAGCGGTTCCGGAATAGGAAAGGCAACAAGGTGAAGGACTGTGTTGTCGAGATAGACTAGTGACAAAGATGTATCGGCTCGACTGTATCAACCGGAGAGAACTGGCGAGAGAGATAGAGGGAGTGAAGAAGGAATGGACCAAGTAGAACAAGGACTGTGTTTTATCAAATTTCGGATGTTAAAGCGGTCACCTTAGCAGCGTTTGTCGGCAGCTGGTTTGGGCTGATTGCATGGGCGTAAAGCATCAGTCAGAAACGCTATATTTCGAAGTATTCCATCATCGGGATGACCGCTCGAATGAATTCCAACTATCTTGCCATAATCTGTTGGATCGACACCGTCCGGTTGATCTCTGTCGAGCAAGAACAAAGCACCGCCGGAACAAGTTTCGATGGTATTGATGTCGTGTTAGAAGTATGGCGGGTCAGCGTATAATTCTTTAATTTCGCCTGTATGAATCACAGTGTCATGTTTGCGTCCAAACATATTTTCGTCCGCCCCCCCGACCGCAGGAGGGGTTACGGGTTGCTCTGCATTGAAGACCGCAATACCAATTTTGGCCCCACTGGGAGGCACCCTGCTAGCCACCTGAAACATTTTGGATTTTCCGATAAATTTTGGAAGAAGTGCACAAATCCAATCCGTAATCGCTTGCAATTGTGCAGCCGGAAAGGTTCATTTTCGGTATTTTATCACGCAAGACTTCTTCAAAGCTGGCGACGTAAGGGGTACCTTTAATAAGGATGTGGGCTTTGTCAAATTTCCGAAAAATTCCCTCGGTGGTTTCGGTGGTGACTTTGTGTTTGGCGGTCCACATTCGACACAGACTCCTCTGGCTTGTCACCGTCTCATCCAGCAACTTTCCTTCTTCAATCAGCGCAACTTGGCCGTAGTATATTGCTTCTGCTGCAAGCAGCGATTCATCCTCATCTCCTTCGTCCCACTCAGTGTAGCTCATGCGCAGAGCAAATGCCTTTGCAGTCACCTTGGCTGCCAGATCGTCGGATATGGCCGAGGTGTCGTCGATCCAAGCAGCACCGCAGGCAACCAGCTTATTCTTCCCAACTTGACACACCTTTTCTGGAATCCAACTTTTTGTCTTGGATCCTGATCTGCTAGTAGAATGCGAGGAATGAGATCGCTGCCCGGGTGACGGCGCCATGTTTCCTGTAATGCTGAAACATGTCGAGATTGTATTGAAGAAGGAATGAACTTGGTTCTATTGCATGTGAATGCTTTGGTTCCTCTAGCTAGCATCCAATCAGAACCACCCCTTCCATCTGTTCCCGCCCCTTTTTTTTTCTATCCCTGCCCAGGTCTACCCAATTTTGTCTACCTTACCTCCCTTCCTCCCCCCTATCAATCCCCCTCCAGCCCCGAGCTCTTACGTGGTGATCTTTCCATTCGCGGCTTGTTTGAACGAGGTACTACAGCTATTATTGACGTACGTGTCACTGATTTGGACTGTTGCCTCTTACCGCAACAAAGATCCGTCAAAGTTTTAACCCACAAGAACGCGACAAAATTTCCAAATATAAAGACGCGTGCGAGTCCAATCGCGCTTCCTTCCACCCTTTTTTTTGTGTGGGCTTGCCCCCTCAAGCCAAGACTCTCTTACAACGCCTGCTTCTGCTACTGCCTCCAAAACTAATTTTCCTACTCTCAAATGATGTTCTTCATGCAGACCGTATCTCAATTGCCCTTGTGAAAGCTACCCATTTATGTCTCCGTGGATCCCGCAAAGCCAAACCCTTTGCCCCCCGTAATGGTCCTCAATTTCTTGCCCCTGATCCCACAGAACCTAGTCCTGAATTTCGCCTGTTCTTTGCTTAAGCCTGGCCCCGGCTGGCTTCCGTAGATAATTTCCCTACTCTAACACCCCTCTATATTGAAGAAGGATGGAGCAGTTCATTGCTTTCCTTGACGAGGCGGACCAACGACTGACGGAGGACGGACTTGTTCGTACACGTAGAGGTATTCTGGGGAGCAAGGGGCGCGCAGAAATTCCGTGCGAAGGCGCGCACGCGTACAGTCGTAGTACCTAAACACAAAGGAGCATCCATGACGTACAGTACGAGGTTGAAAGGTTGAGAGGTGGAGGGAGGATCGGAGACGAAAATGGGTGCGCGTTTGTTTTGGTTGGATCCAAGAAGAGAAAATCAAAAAAGAGAGAACTAGACACCGGATGACGGACAGACGGCCACCCCCTAAATCCGGCCTCCCATATCAAATCTTTCCCTCTATATCTCAGTATGTCCCTTCCTCTATTTCTCTCCCCTGTGAGGACCTCGAATTCAATCAATTTAGCCCAGTCCCAGAGGTTAAAGTACTACTTTAATTTGTCACCGTATCTTCGGTCCAAAAAAGGGAGTGGAGGACGCGAAATTTCCTAATTAACCATGTCAAAAAAGTAGGCATGCGCGCTTGAAAACCGTCGCACGCCTACTCTTGCCGCCACACTAGTACTGTTCCATTCGAATAATCATTCCTCCGTCCACGATAGTAGTCACCAACAATGGGATTTTGCCGCTGCTTTTGACACCAATGACAGAATCTAATAACAAGCCGTTCAGCGCGACGCAATGGTCTTTCATTCGCAAAGTCAGGTCAGAGATTGATAGAGATGGCCGGTCCTTTTTCGAAGATAATAACTGGCGACAAATCACACCAAGCACCGGCAGGTTTTGCTCTACGCTACTCGACCAAACGAAATCGAAGAATGTACCAATGCAATCTTTCTATGTCAGAGGAGTTGTTGTTTGGACACCACACCATCTATTCAAGAACCACACACCTCATTGTCCCTATTGCAAGAAGAATGATCAGGTTCACACATCCAATTCCAAGATTCGTTGGATCAACAATCCCAAGGTTGTTTATGGGTTATCTCGACACATGTACATGGACACGGTGCTTTATCCTTGCAGCCGCTGTAGGCGCCACTTTACTGGTTACAACAAGCAGTCCATGCAACTGGATGCAACTCTGTACAATTCCTTTTTTAATTTCTTTCTTGGTCATGGCTTTGCATGCGACGAAGAGTTGTACCGCGCTGTGGTGGAGGACTCAACGACACAGTCTACGGCAGAAATCGCGAAGCGATTGAAGAAGATGGCATATTCAGCTTACTACGATGACTACTTGCTCTATCTATCTGCCATCGGATTGGACAAAATCAGACCAGCAAAGAAGGCTCACACTTTGGATTCTATGGTAACCCGAACAGGTGCACAAGATCCCCAGCTCACACAACTGCAACGGGCAAGACACGATAAACAGAGAGAAGTCAACCATGCAAAGCTACGTGAGTCTGGTGCTAGGAACAAGGTAGAAAATGATTTGGAATTCAAGTTATTACTGAAGCCAAAGAAAGACAGGAACGTCCACGGACTGAAGAACGTTTTGCCAGGTCTTGGCCCTGCCAAGCTGAGACGTTTGATGGATAATGGAATTTGTACTCTTCATGAATTGTTGGGTGCAGAGGAGGGTAGCGGTGGAATACCGACTCATTTATTGTACCAGTGGCAAGCTTGGGGAACGGATTATTTGGAAAGCCTTCAGTCGAAGCTCGAAACCGCTGAAGATGACCGTATTTTCGCTGAGCTTGAATTGGATGCTGCCATCAATGGTTTACAGGAGTACATGGCTACTGCCGCTCCTTATGGTGGCAATGCTCCCCCTCCAGAGCAAGAACAAGAAAGTCTTCCCATGTTTTCTTCATTTGCCGACAAGAAGGGGTACTCCGGCAAGCACCTGAGCAAGCATCGAATTGACTGCATCGTAACAACAGTGTTTCAGCATAGGAAGAAATTCCAGGAGGCAAAGATGCAGGGACTGAATGCTGTCATTGCCAAGGTTGACTTCAATTACAAGATAGCCCAAAAGATCCGTGTGTGGACAAAGCAGGGCCAGAGCTTCTCTCCATTCAAGTGCATTGTGACCATTCAGAATGAAGATGGGATGACAATCTTTTGGAAAGCACTGCGCCACTCAGAGTCATTCAGTGAAATCAAGCCTGACTTGATCCGGTTGAGGAAACGACTGAATATCAACTTGAAAAAGAAGAAGTCCTCTGAGCAAGAGAAAGTGGCGAAAGAGTTGATGGGAGCTGCTTTTGATCCCTCCGTGCTGCCAGCAATTGCCGATGAAGATGCCGTCAAGCTTGTCTATGTTGATAATTGTTGCAATGTTTGCAGGATAGTGAAGGAGTGCTTCCCAAACGCGGAAGTGAAGCTTGATCCCTTTCACTGGTTGAAGAGATGGAATGATATAATGGCAGATCCAAGCAGCTCCCAAGCAGGTATTCTCCGGGGACTACTGAGCCGAGCCATGTTCAATGTCGAATCTGGGGAATTCCAACGTGCTAAGTCACATCTGGAGCAGAAACTTGGAAGGGAACCACTGGTAAAAGAAGTATTGAAAGAAGCCAATGCTGTCATCCCTGCTCCTGACATTTTGCGCAAGAACATCGAGGCTGTAATATTCTATGCACAAGCCAAAGATGCGGAGGTTGAGTCTCAATTGTCCACCACACCGGAACAGCAAAGAAGCACCACCAAGCCAAAGCGTTTCTTCAAGGTTTCGGCGAAGAACCGAGATGTCATTCAGAACCAAATGAAGCATGTCGACAAGGGATGCCTTTCAGATCCAGTGGGAATTAACCTGTTTCGAAGGAATCCAGTGACTGGAAAGGTTTATGTTGCTCGTGGAACCAACACAAATGAGAGGGACAATCTTGACCTCGCTCATCGAATTCTCAGGGCTGCACATATTGGTTAGTTCATGTTGGATCTTGTTTTGTTATCTATGTTCTTCACTCTCACATTATCTCTTTAATTCAAAAGGTATCCACAGAGGTGAACGTCTGCTTGGCAATTTCTTCGAAGAGAAGAACCAGAGAAAGGGTATACTCAGGCGTGGGGAAACCGACTACGGCACATACCACACAGAGAAGCTGTTGGTGTTGCGAAGCTATGCTAAAACAGTAGGGGTAACTGAGGAGCAGCTTCCATTTGGCGATGTCCCAGTTCCAGTTGTTACCACCACTGAGGAAAAAGAATTCATGGGCTTATGTTACCAGGTGGCAAGTACAACTCATGATGTGTCCAATCCTACAGACGACCGTTCCCGGTTTACAGATTTGACCACTGTGGACGATGACGAAGAAGTTCTTGCCGGTTATGAAAATGTTGCAGGGGCAACTAACCAAGATGAGATACGAGAAGAACAAGAGCGAGTATCTCGGCTGTTAAATGAAGCAGTTGGTGATGACGAGGATGTTGAGGTTTTCGCCACTGAAGAAGAGTACCTTGCGGCCACTGAGAATGAAAGGGCTTCCGCGGAAGAACGTAGACAACAAGAGGGCTTAGAAGAAGGCGACAACTCAGCCAACAACAGTGATCGAAGAAACCTCGCATTCATTGTCAGGGAATTAGAGCTTCTTTTCCCTTCTTCCAATGCTAATGAAACTACACTTGATGCCTTTAAGAGGTTGACTGAAGACAAGACGTGGATTCCTTTTCGCAAACCACACAGTGAGACAAGGGCGACACCAACCGAGACTGAGGAAGCAGCGTTATTTAATGAGTGGATTGTTCGCTACAACAGACATGCAAGCGCGGGTGCACGTTCCTTTAAGCAGTTGCAAGTTGACTGGAACATTGAGGTGGCTCGCCGGTTCAAGCTCTGGAGCAGGGGTGACACCACGATTGTGCAGATCCATCGCAAGAGCCAGATCCAATTACAGGAGTACTACGACCAATTGAAGGATTCACAAAGTCTTGAAACGATCGCTCCTCGAAAAGGCAATGATGAGCATCGAACCAACCTGGATAATCAACTCCGTGAAGCACGACAGCTGCTTCCACCGACCAACCCACCAGAAGCTGTTCGCCGCACTGCCTTTCATGGAGTAGGTACCACTCCCTTTGCCGTGCCAACAGTTTTGAATGCAGAAGTGGCTGCTGGCGCTTTGACTGCAGTGAGAGTTCAAAATGGACAACAAGCAGTTGCTGTGGTCAATGATGTGCAACACCGACTTGTACCTTTTCAGGTGACAAGGCATGTCACTCCTGTGCAAGCACCAAGACCACCTCCTAGAAGGATTTTCAGGAGCAGGATGTTCTGTAGCACTTGTGCTCACAGAAGAAGGGACCATGCAAGAGAAGAGAAAGCAGGAAAGAACTGTGTCAGAGATTGGTGTGGCCATTGCCATGAAAGGAAAGAGTTTCACAGCAGCAATGATGGCTTTGGCCTAACATGCTCTAAAACAAAGCATCCTACTTGCCCAAAAGAGGAGTGGTATCAGCTGTCACAGGTAAGTCACTACTATTGTTACTGTTGACACTTATTGGATAACAAACAACAACAATCTTACAGTTGCTGCTTCCTTCTTTTCTTTTCAGACATGAGACATATTCAATGCATGGAGTAGGCATAAATGCCATTGTGTGCAGTGAGAGAAGCCCTTTGGATAATGTACTGCTGGCTACTGATCACCATTCCACTCAAGTTGTGTTTGTGCTTGCTCCAGCACTGAGTATCAAACCAATGACTCCACTCTGTAAGTAAGAACTCTTTGGCTTCCCACTCCCACACACCAAACTGAGTATAGAGAGCATCCCTCATAAGTGGTCTAACTATCATTCCACACAACTCTTTCTTTGTCACAGGATCTCCTTCCTCCACTGTCAAAGCAAGCAGAGCAAGGACATCACTGTACCACTCAGAGCTCTGCCTCACTCCCCATCCAGTCATGGTCTCCAGAATCCAAGTCATATCAGGTGTCATGGGCACAGCTTTTTCTTCCATTATGAGTTGCTCTATCATGACACTGGGAAGGTACTTTACCTTTAGAACAAAGTACTGACTGTACCTGTTTGCCCTGTCAGTTTCATCCACCAACAAAACATACTTGAGTTCATAGCTATGCCTGGTCTTCCGAATCTCATTGAATGGGTAGCGAGTATTAATATCTAGCCAATGTTTAAATTCAGATCTAGCACTGTGCAACATGGTGATGTAGTAGCTTGCTGTAGTTGACTGTGTAGGAATCCAATGACTCGACTTCCGTACGGAGACCGAAATGTGAGGTGGTTTGATTGAGGTACGTCGCACCTCAGCGAATAAGTCTTCCGCGGCCTCCACAATTGACGGGAGTTAGGTGACAAAATTTGAATCAATTTGAATCCACTGTGAGGATTGTACTATCTTGACAATTTACTTAGCGAGGATTGGTCTTGTATGAAATTTCAGTACTAGCCTATTAAAACCTGGCCGGATTCTCACCCGAAAATGAAGCTGATCGATTTGAGCCATTCGGGAGTTGGGGAACAGTACCAGTGTTTTTGGCGGGGCTCTTGCTGTACATTGGTGTTGAATTGGGGATCTGCCATGGTGCTTTGTAGTGGCTTCTGCTGTCTACAGACCGGGGCCAAGCCCATGTCGCCATCCAAGGCCTTGGTCTGAAGGCATTCAGGCTTTTGCTCTGCCAGGAATTGGACCACTTCCAGTGGCGCTCCACGGAGGCACGCCATTTGAAAGGGCGTGTAGCCCTTCGAAGGATGGCGTACACCGATTTTTAATGCGGCTCCACATGCCGGTTGTCCTCTCCAATAGAGCTGGGATCTGTTCCACCAGCCAACGTATCACCTCCAGGGACGCCCTGGGGCACAAGCCATGTGCAGAGGCGTTTAGCCCCCGGAACGAAAGCAACCCCTTGCCCTCATGGCGGCAGGATATCGGTTGCTCAAAGGCCAAGTTGAACCAATTCCAAAGTAACCAATCCTCGCTCGGCGGCAGTTCCTTTGTTCGGGGGATACATGCAACGGCGTACAATCGTTCACACAGCTATCTTGAAAGGCTTCCGGCGAAGGACGTACCTCGCACAAGGCTCGATTTTTGCCGAGTGACCATCCATACCGGTAAGCCACTGTGCCCCAAGAGTATGCCTTGAACCTGTAGCAAACACCGGGACCAAGGCCACCGAGCTCATAGATTTCCTTCCAAGAGTTTGCAGAAATCTTCATCACTCCAGCTAGCTAGGTAGTACCGAGATCCTCGATGTTGCATCAAGTCCATGAATAATCCACCTACCGTAGTGGTGCCCTAGCCCGACCCAACTCCAGCTAGCTGGAGTGCTTCTGGACCCCAACAGGAATAACAAGAACAGTTCCGTCTGTCCACAGGTCTCCTCAATTGACTGGTTCGAAGTTTGAAGAGCAGCTGCCTTGAAGCATGATTTCTAAAGGAGGGGTAAACCAGTTTGAAATGAAACTTTTATTACCTCGGCAGGTAAACTGCCTGAGTTCTCAACCCCTTTAATGCTATTTCCTATTTCCTATTTCCTATATCATATTTCCTATTTCCTATTTCCTATTCCGGTGAAGCCAAAGTATAAGGATAGAGATAGTCATAAGCCAACAAAACTGAACATTGATGGTTCAATACAAGTTAGGGGTAGGAATATATTATTAATATTTAAGGTTAATGCAATCATCACAACAGCACAATAAGGCAGCAGGAGCTGTAAAGGTTAGAGTTACAATAAGGGAATGGCAGCTGGTAAATTATAGAGTAGCGGGCGGCAACACACGACGTAGTCGGGTGTTGTCGCCAGGGCTAGCTTGATAAAGAAGGTTGCAATGAGGGAATGAAAGATACCGGGCGGCAACACACAACGTAGTCGGGTGTTGTCGCCAGGGCTGGCTTGAAAGATGGGTGCAATCTCGAACATGATCCTCCTTCTTCTATCTGTCTTTCTGCCGAGGTATCGCAGCTCCCGCTGACTTAATACTCAATACACGAAGAAAGTAAGCAGAATGTTTGAACAGCTGTTGGGGTTCACCATGAAGATATTAATAGTACCAGTACCGGTACCTTTTGGGGTTCACCATAAAGGTACCGTTTCAACAACTTAATGCCTTCAATGCCGTACCGTACTTCTTCGGAACATCGAAGCAACCAAGGCACCAAGGCATCCTGAAATTTGAGACATGGTCGAGAACTGTCGTTCTGGCCGCCTCCAGTACTGTCTCGTACGGTAGGTACCGGTACCAAGAATGAAGTCCACCGTACCGCTGAAAATATTCCCGGAAATCTATTCACTCATTTCTTTTGACATCTTCTTCCTCCACAAACCACTGGTCTCATTTATTTGCTCACTTCTTCTTCCACAAATCAAGGTACGGTAGTGCTGTAGAGAGTTTTTTGTAAGTACGGCACCGCACGATGTCTGATCAGAAGCTATCAACCGACGTGGAGAGCGATCAGCGGGAGGTACTCTACGAAGATTCCGCGGCAATGGCATCAAACGACCCGACCAGCGGCTTGGAGGAGGAAGGAGGCACTTTGTATGTGGGCATGAAGCCGCCTAACAAGAAAGAGTGGTGGGGAACACGTGGGCACGAGCTCATCATCAACGAGCAAGCACTGAACCGATCCCTCATGGTCCTCCGCTTTGGCGTCTTTGCCGATGCGATCAATGCCACCATCCTCCAACCAAACTACCCTTTCATGGTAGGTTCCGCGCACATATTTCTTTCTTTGCGGTTGTCGTTGGTGTCACTCAATTATTCACTTATTTTACTTACCTGTGCTTGTCTCGAAAGGTTATCAAAGATGCCCACCCAGATTCCTTTGATAGCACAGCGCCATTTGACTTTAGTGCTGCCCAGTATTTTCTACCCATGTCTTCCTTGTTGGGCACTGCACTGGCATCAACAGTCATTGGATACCTCTCGGATAAACAGGGCCGCAAACCTTGGATCTTGGCATGCATGTAGGTACAACTACCGTTCGACTTCAAGGGGATGCCGGGCTCATTATCCGTGGATAGCCACTGTTTTGCCGTTCTGGTGTGACTTACGTTTTTTTGAAATACTTGTCCTTTTTCAAAGGTTCATGGGAGTGGCTGGGTCCATTGCCAAATACCTGCTGCGCAAGTCGTATTGGGGCTTTTGTGCCGCCAACTTTGTGAACGGTCTCTTTGGGGCCAGCTTGTAAGTGGGTTCTTGGCATGACGACAGTCTTGTCCTGCAAGGCCGCCTTTCTCATCTCAATCCCCATGCCTCTTGTTCAGGTCCGTAGCAATGGCATACGTTAGCGATGTCAAGCCTACTCGCGCGGAAAAGGACGCAGAGATTGGTAATATGGTCGCGTTCAATGTACGACTCTTGACTTTTGATTCGCCGTCAATGGTATGGCATCATTCCGTTCCTGACCTATTCACATTTGCTACTCTGAATGCTTGCGCTCGCAGATGATTGGAATGACGGGGGGAGGTATTTGTGCGATCCTCATGGGAACAAGCGGCCTCTTCACGCCTCTTTTCATTGGTGCTTCAATGAACCTTTTGGCGGGCTCACTGGCCTCCTTCTACTTGATTGAGCCCAAGGCAATGTTGCATTTCCTCACTTCTGATGACCCCATTCAAAAGGAATTGGAAGAGTTGGAAGATGCCCGTGCCCCCAAGGAAATGAACTGGAAACTTGTGGCCAATGTCCTTGCTGGTGCTTTGGCAGACAACTTTGGGTCTTCCGGAATGCTGCCCATTTGTCTATCACCATTGGCCTTCACTGAGTTCTACCAAAGCTTTATTGATAAGAAAGCAACACCTGTCATGACTCAAGAAGCATACAAGTGGCTTAGTGTTTCGGTAGCAATGTGTGTCATTCCTGGAGCCGCCCTCTCCCAAGGCGTGTTCAACAAAATCGGTCCGGCAGGTGGCTGTGTCATGGGGAATGCTTTGACTGGAGTTGCAACAATTGCCTTGCTACTCATTGCTACGATTGAACCTGCAACAACAGCAACCTATGCCGTGTTCTTCACGGTTTTGTATGTTGCTTTTCCAATGACTGTAATCAGTCAGCTGTCAACTGGCCCAATGCTGGATGCATTGTCACCAACGGACAAGCGTGGATTCACTCAAGGCCTAAATGTTGCAGCCATGTCGTTTGCCAGTTCAATGAGTCCCTTTATTTTGGGATTGCTATCCGACAGCATTGGCACAGAAACCACAATTTGGATCTGTGTAGGAATCAGCTTCTTTGCAGCATTGGTCAATCTGCCACTAGTCTTTGCCAAGAGTCTGAAACGTGCACCACCGCTTGCACCGGACTTTGCTAGAGCGCTCAAGGGAGAAGACACTGAGCTGGTGGAACGTGCCCTTCGTGGTGAGTGGATCCCTCTAGAGGCACTTGAGCGAATCAACCAGGAAAGAATGGATACAGGCCGTCACTTTCTCGTGCAACCAATCCGAAGCTACGAAGAGGACAAGAAAGACTTGGTCCTGTTGCGCCAGCAGGCTCTGGCTGACTTTGAGTATCAGAGAAACAACACCGCCACATGGCTACGAGAACTGGACACGCTGGAAAAGAGACAAGAAGTGCTGGAAAAGGTCAACAATTCGCGTCTCCCAGAGGAAGAACGCCTCGAAAACAAGGAGAAGCTTGGTGAATGGTTTACGGACTATCTCGAAGGAAGCGGTTACCGCTTGGATGACGCTCCTCTTCTTTGGAAGCAACTGTTTATGAAAGCTTTCCCTCCTCTAATCAGAGGAGACGAGAGCGAAGTCACACCCGAGAACTTTGAAACTACCATTGTGAGCTATTCCAAGATGCTCTCCAAATACCTGGCCGAGAAGGACCGACCTGGTTTCAATCAAGCATTTTCTAGGCGCTTTGGCCAGGGAGCAGCCGCTTTCGGTGGCGGTGCCCGCTATAGTGCATTGTCAAGCGGGCCTGGGGCGGCGAATGCGTCCTTGAAGTATCGTGGTTCCACCACTTCCTGCTAAGAAGTGAGGAATCGTTTGAGACCCTCCAGGCATCATGAGTAGTGTGGAGTTTGTACATGTAGATATTGTAGTTCAATGTGGTTAGTGGTGGTAAATAGATATCGCATTCATTGAATGCAAGATCTCTGAAGCTTTACAAAACTTTGTGTGGTACGGTGCGCTGCGCAAGCTTGGTGATACAAAAATCGTCAGAAAAATTCCTAAAAAGTAATACTTTCTATTAGAATACGACTACTGAACGGGTTAGAGCAAATGGTTTTATTTTGTCCCTGCTGTTCACTTGCCAAGTTCCCAAACCTACACATGAATGCCATTTTCGGCTTGACCAGTACCAGTCCACCTGGTAGCTAGCACGAGCCAAGAGGACCAATGGTGATCGGCTTATGGTTGGGGTTGCAAGAATTCAATCAACAACGTTCAACGGGAATGCAAAAGGCACTGCATTCATCACAAGCATGGCATCATCCCACTCTGGTAGAGCTTCCAATGCATACACTAGCACAAGGGGGGAAAGACAATCGTTGCTCACAGCAAACTGGATCTGGCAAAGTCAAACCCTTTGGCCCCAACCGTACCGGTACCGGTACAGTACCGGTAGGTTGGCCCTCATTTAGCCCACCTCATACCACCCATTGGAATTCCCCAAGGCAAAGAAATAACTTCCCAACCGGAGTGACAGTCGACTCGACTGAACTCTGAACCCTCTCTCGAATGCAGGTCTGAGGCACGGCCGCGCCTACCGGTAACTCTAAATATGTATCCACGTATGAAAGGATTGAAACCTGCACACGAATGAATGCTCAGGATCTTCCACACCTTCCCGTTTGAACCCGCCTTCGATGCTCTTTGATGTGGCTTCATTCCATCGTGTAGTATTCATGTGGAGGCTCCTCATTGCCCTCTTCGTTCTGCTGCTGCAGGTACCAGCCCCCGTAGAGTGCTCGACGACACCAAGAACCGCCATGGCTTCCACCAACAAACCTCTCAAATCCGCGGCCTGGACAGCCTACAAGCGAAGCTACCGCAAGAAGGACAAGCCGGATGGGTACATTGAGGTGTTCCGCAAAATCAAGGCCGCCTTTGGCTGTGACAAGGTGTTGTATCCAGGATGCCACCGTCATCTCTCCGCCTCGCTGGTGTGGCCGCATGTGGACTATGTGGATTCCGACCGCAAAGTGGCTGATGTCTACGAGGATGACGTTTGTCGCCAATGGGTTATGGAAAATGCGGGATACGAGTCGTCTCCCGCATACACGTTCACCTGTGCCGATTTTACGAAACCCTTGCCCAAGGGCAAATTCAAGAAAGATTCCTACGACTGCCTCATTTCTTTGAGCGCGGGTGTCGTGTCCACCGCCTGTGTCCCCTATCTGACCCCTGGCGAAGGACTGCTCCTCGTCGATGATTCCCATTCGGATGCCAAGATTGCCTTTATGGATGAACGGTTGGAACTAGTGGGTGCTGTGGTGGTTCCAAAAGGCGACGGTGATGAGGTGGCGGTTTTAGAGGTGGTCACCAGTCCTGAAAGACTGGACCGATATTTCCGAACCAAGGCGAAGGGAAATCCACATATCACCCAAGCCCAAGCGGAGGAAGCTATCCGGATTGGTTCCGTGGCCAAACGTTCCTTTCGCGTGTTGGAGGATGCCTTTGTCTACATCTTTCGTCGTCGTCGAGGAGAATCGCAAGATGAAAACGCCGCCAACGAGGAGGCAGCCAATGAAAAGGTTGACGACAAAGAGAAGAAGCGTGGAAGCATCGACGACACCGAGTCGAAACCAAAGAGGAGTAAACGTTGAGGTCGGTGAGACCAGATCCAATGCTGCTCTTGCTCGACCTCTCCCACCCATAGTCCCCTCTAACCATATAGCAACATTCTGATAAGCAAAGGAATCCGGCGTCCACTCCAGCCATATAGCTAGTCTGATTTGGTAGGCAAAGAAAACCGGGGTCTATTTTGGTCTGATCTGATAGGCAGAGAAATCCGGCGTCTATTTTGGTGGAAACGCATCTTTATTTGACCTAATGTTACTTCCCCTACCGTAGCGTAAACTGCGACTGTGAGCGGTACAAACAATTAGAAACGATCAAAGCCCGCTGCGGTGGGTGGATTTCTACTATTGAGTGCAAGGCAATTTTCGGTCCAGGCGAAGAAGAGAAAATGTTAGCATAACCAAGAAACTGCACCCTACTAACTACACTAATCATCATCTGCCGACGTGGTTCTTCGGTTTCGTTTGTTCTTGGCTCCCATTTTGAATTTGCTATTCGCCTTGTTTTTCTTTTTGAATGCCACTTTTTCTCCGGCTCCTGCCAATTTCTTGGTTTGCACCACGACCGCTTCTTCTTTATGAATATCGACTCCCTTATAGCCACCCTTGTGCCCCCATACATCGTAGGCTCCCAATGCGGAATCTTCGGCATTCTGGACTTTGGATTCTTCCATTTTTCTCGTTTCGGCTTCCTTTTGGGCATTGTCAGCCTTGCGTTTGGCTTGTCGTTCGCGACCTCGTTCTCGCGCCCGTTCTTCGCGGGCTTGTTGATGGACCGTGGTGCGCTTAATGGTGACGGTGGACCATCCCGACAAGCCCGTCGCTTCGTCAATTATGGCAGATTGTTGTTGTTGTTCTGATGATGTCAATTGCACTTCTTCTCCTCCCAGGGCTAAAATTCGTGCTTCTTCCACAGTTTCGGGAATACTGTCGGATGCTCCCAAAACAATGCGAATGCGAGGCAGTCGAACACTGCGTTCCATGGTTTCTTCCGTGTCGGTTTCGGGATTTTTGAGGTAGACGACATCTACGACCATGCGATCTTCTTCTTCTTCTTGCGACGTTTGTTTGGTATTCTTGCGCACGGCCACGACGAGTCCATTGATCCAGAGAGATTGATGGTGGCGCAATCTCTTTTCTTCACTACTGGCCAAATGACTGCCCAACCAGATTTGAATGGGCATTTCGTCTTCTAGAATTTCGGCAAACGTAGTGGCTTCCAAGTATGTCTTTTGCTCTATAGTATCATCATTGTCATGTTCCAGTTCCAGAGTGTAGTGACCTTGATTAGGGGCAATGGTGCGTTTGGCAGTCGAGTTGCTTCCTGGCTGATTGTTGTTGTTGTCATTGTCGTCGTCATCGTCTTTGCCAGATTGTTTGTCATCTTGTCGTTGCTTTTTGCGAGCATTCCAATCTTTCATTTCCTTCTTTTTCGAAGGCTGCTTGGCTTGCTGTGAAGGAGGTGGAGGAGGTACTAAAGCTGAAACTGGAGCAGGCACTACTCCATAGGCTGGCACTACGGCGCCGCGACTGGCCAATGTGGCAGTGGTATCAAAATAGAGACTATCCGGTCCCGTCGCCATGGATTGTAGAGCCGCCGCTTCCATGGCCTTGAGACTCGATTGCAACTGCGATGCTTGCTTGTCGGACGCTGCCTGGTTGTCGCGGCGTTCCTTCAAGGACTCTTCCACCTTTTCCTTGTGTTTCTTTCCATTCTCGTGCAACAAGATCGATTGACGATCATTGCCCATCCACACATTGCACACGGCACAGTAGTGACGAGATTCCTTCGTCTGCCACGACCGCATGCGGCCTTGATTATTGGAATTGGAGCTCATGGTATGGTGGAGGAGATCGGTAATAAAAAGGTGTTATTATGTTTGACTATGTTTGGTTTGTGGTCGGCATATGGTGAGTGGCTGTTTGATCACGTTTCGAATTCGAATAAGACAGCCAGACCGCAAACGAAATGATGGGCCGAGCTGCTTGATTTGGATACTTTTACGGTACCCTGCTGCAGGTGCATTGAAACCACTTACTTCATCCCCAGCTATATCGGCACTGGTAGCAATCGTAACCTTTTTCGTCACCGATGGCAAGGAATTACTCCCCATCCGTATTTCGGGAGCTCATGAGCGGTGAAAGGGGGTTTCTAAAGAGTACGGTGGGAAGTGATCTACGAAAGTCCAGATGAGAGGACCAGGTATATTCATTCTAACTACATACGTCAATACGATATGTAGGCAAAGTACCGGCAGCCACGGAACCATTTCCATGTAGTGAACCTTCGCATGAGGTCATCACGAGATTCCGCATTTTTAGAGTCATTCTTTCTGACCGGCACGATTTGTGAGAAGCAGTTTGTTTGTAAATCTTGTGGTGGCTTCCAAGCAAGCACCAAAACCAAACAAGCTGCTTCAACGCCCACCTTCTTGACTCCTCCTTCTAGTGCCTGCCTGACCCTAGCAGCAGCAGCAGCAGCCTCAGCTATCCCAAAATGTGCGATGTGTGTCATTGAGCAGTGTTGACCCGCAAACAAATCGGAGTCGGTAGCTCGTGTGAAGGTCTCACAATCTACACATTGGCGGACGAAGCGTGCGCCCGAGTTCAATGTAGGCAGCCATAACTATCGGGAACTCATGATTGCTTCCAGTCTAGCTAGCTGGCGAGTTGGCGAGTACTGGTAGGCCCCTTGCCAGCTAGATGGAAGCATTTTTTGCATTGCGGTTGGTTGTGTTTGGTAGCCAAGAATGGAACAAGCAAATTCTCGTGGAGTGCTGAACGAGCACTGGGTCCCCCTGCCTGCAATGACGAACGAGGATTTCCCCAACCACAAGCAACATCCTCGGAACGTGCCCATTGCTACATGATGACAGCCCAAAGTGTCAACCAATGGCATGATTCGATTCAGGATTATTATGCAGTAGTAGAAACTAACTCAGCAAGAACAGTCACACCCACACAACAACTCGGTGCAGTCAAAAGATGACCCAAAAGGCCCCTGACAAGCTCCCAAGCTATTCTTGCCAATGCATGTTCCATTTACAGTACAAAGAGGTTCGGGTATCACACCAGAGAATAAGCTGTTGCCCTCAATCCGGAAGCTGTACAGCGATTTCTGCAAGGAAGCCAGCTCCACTGGAACAGTTCCATGGAGGAAATTGTTTTCCATGGTAAGACTACCCAGGGATGTCAAAAGCCCAAACTCGGAAGGAATTGTGCCAGTGAACGAGTTGTTTCCCAGATGAATATAGTCCAAATTGGAAAGGCCAGAAACAGCACTGGGGATTGTACCTGAAATCTGGTTTGACCCAAGGTCTAGACGTTCCAGTGGAGGGAGACCCAGCTCAGAGGGGAGAGTTCCGGTGAAGAAATTTTGGCGCAGGATAATGTGGGCTGAAGTAAGAAGACCAAGCTCACTAGGCAGAGTCCCCTCGAGAAGATTGCCATAAATGGAAACAATCCAAAGCTTTGATAGTGCCCCAAGCTCACTGGGGAGAGTCCCAGTAAGTTGATTCCCCAACAAAGCCAGCCATTCTAGAGATCTGGCCTGTCCAAGCTCTGTAGGAATAGAGCCTAAAGTGTATTGAGAACATAGATTGAGTAGCATTGGCGGGAGTAAACATGAGACATGAAGAAACTTACCGGTCAGAGCACAGTCATCCATCAAAAGCCACCTCAGCTTTGGTAGAGTGCTTATAATTGAGGCGATTGTGCCTCCTAACCAATAAGTTTCTTGAAGGTTCAGTTCCAATACTCAAGTAGTGGACTGGGTCTCGCTGAAACCCTTCCTCAGGGACAGCGGTAGTCAGGCAGTTCAGGGAGCCTTGTCGTGCCTCAGGAGTATTCCAACACCTCCAGTAGGCACCAAACCAAGGA